AATACTCAATTTATAAATGAAATGGGACAGTTTTGGATCAACCCACATCTCATCACTAGCTCTCCAAGTGGTCAAGAGTTTTGTCCCAAAATTTAAAATTTCCCAAAATTGCCATTAGAAAGATTTTTATTTATTTTAAACGCTAAAATGCTCTAGTACTATATACCTCGATTTATTTACTTTTACTATAGCGTCTTAATTCCTTGAACGCATTTCAAAATGAGTAATGGTATGTAATTTTTATAACGTCTTTAAACATATATATATGATATTTTAATGCATAGTCGTGGTGTCTGAGTGAAAAGACGAACAGATGACGCCGACACAAATGAATTTTAAAGAAGTCCCAATCTTTATTTTCAAGCATTTCTTATAATTCTTTTGTAGAGAAGATATTTTTAAATCATATTTGAATACAACAACTTCTTATGTACACAAGTTAACGGGGACGACATCATTCTAGACGAACAAGCAAGGCAGCGGAGACATGTTAGCAGTGGCGAAGCTAAAGAAAGAAATGATTAGCACAGCTAATCTGTGATCGGTTAATTTTAGGTAGTTGTATAACATGGAAAGCTCTCGAATTTGGGAGAGCAGAGGAATTTAGGGGGAGAGCACCAAATCTAGAATAGTTAATTTTGAGGTCTCCACTTAAAGCAGCTATCGCGTTTTGCTGTATGTTATATTCCCCCTTCAAAAGAAAACTTGGGAGAGCAGGGAAGCAGAAAAAAAATTAGTGAGTTAGTGAAGGAAGAGGAAGTTTATTATATGAGTTTTTCTATGCCTGCAACTTTTTCTATGCCCCGTCATGATTCATGACTTTTCTCATGTACAGGTTTTGTAATATTTAAACAACTAATTTACAATTATTACAACAACACTATAATTTCTGAATAAACTATATAAGGTATTTCTCCCGCCTTCTTAACAAGCCTTCGTGGTGTAGTGGTCTGCACGCTCAGCGCGTAATTAAGAGGTCCGCTGTTCAATTCCCGGCGAAAGCGTTGCTAATTTTTCATCTTGTCTGCTTCCAAAAAAAATCCTAATGTGTCTACAGCTAAATAATGAATTAACACAATTTTTTTTTTTTTTTTAAAGTCCTCAAGTTGTTAAAATGTCCAATGCGTTTTAAATGCTTGAATGTCATTCAATGAAAAATTTAGTCCTCTTGACAAAAATATTTCCAACAGGTAAATGTTCAGATGTTTTCACAAAGTAAATGTTCAATGACAGTCGTTCAAATTTTTGTTGATGAAAATATTTTGATTATAATACATGTTGATTTGTGAACTTTCATGTGAATATATAATACTCAATTTATGATCGATTGAATAAATTCTTCTTATTGTGGATACAGATATTTAATTCAACAGAATATTCAATATAAAAACTTAATATGATGCAATACTAACTAAAACAATAAAACTTTAACGATAAATTTGGCATGTCCTCTCCAACAAAATCAGCGTACCATCTTGCTGATGTTCGGGGGATGCTTAAGTACATTATATCAAAAAAACAATCCTTCTTTAGAAAAAGGTAACTGGTTTTCAGCATTGTACAATTGCCAAAGTTTTTCTTTCAAAAATCGTTCACATTAACTAATAAAATACAACATTATACAATATTAATATTGAAATTTAAGACAAATAACTTGCATAATCAAGTTCAGGTTTTCTTAATTTTTCAAAATATAATTCAGTAATACCCTACAATAGGAAGAAAACAAAGAAAAATTTTGTTTTAAAAATTTGTGTGTGGGGTAGCATTTCTGTGCGAAACTATGGTCAGAGGATCATGACTGGTAAAGAAAATAGAAAAACCCAAGTCAGTTTCATGACCATAGCTGAATTCCCTAACAAATAAAATTTTAAGGGGGGGGTTGTTAAGAGTGTTCCTAGAGAGACAGCGGGCGTGTACTATCGCTTCATGTATCCTCCCTAAAGAGAAGATGCAAGGAGACATACACATAATGTGAAAACTCATGTCAGAGAAAAGAATAAAAACTTTCGCCTTTAAATGAAAATCGGGATTTTTCAAAATGTGTGTAATGTATGTAATTTTTGTAACGTCTTTAAACATATTGTATATATATATATATATATATATAAATTTAAAGACGTTACTAAAACATTCTAGGCTTGTATATGCGGTCTGTTCAATCAGAGGGCTAAAACGGATTGGTTGTTGTTGACTACAATCCTCATATAATAATGCCTGCTTTGGGGAGAATATGTCACTGCAGAACGAGAACGAGTTTGTTCTTTTTCCTTAGGATTCCATATTCGAACATAATGATCATCTGCTGTCAGTACGAAGTAGAATTAACTGCTAAAAAACATATAAAGCTAATTTTTGACGTTCTGCGCTGCTGTAAGCTTGTTTACTGCAAACGGAGCCACCGATGAGCTGTGCTAAAGACAACATATATAAGGGTCGCTGGAATCACAAACTGGGTTCTGTAAGATGTCTGAAAATGTTTGTTGTCAGAAAGGAACAGTTCCACATGTCTAAACCGAGTGATCATGTTACCCATACGAGCGCGATCTTTCAGTATTTTCTACTGGTGAATTTCTTGTTCCATCTGGGGTTAGTCCAACGTGTTCCATGATGTTATGTGTTTCATTGCTCCCAATTCTAATTGAATAAAATGGTCAAAACGATCCATGTAGCTGACTATGCTGTGCACAGACCACCTTTCGATTCCCAGCCTTACGGTAACGCTTCTCTTGAAGTTTAGGCGTTGTGTAAATCGACATCTGCGAATTCTGCGCAGTATTCTTATTACTTCCTATTTTTACTTACTTCGCCCGATGATTTTCGCTTTTATGGGACATCGACTAAACATCAACTTACGTAGCGTTACAGGTTTATGTTTACATGACCATTGTCGCGCCAGACTTAAATCATTTATATACCAATCCACATTCTAAATCTTCGTACAATTTCGGTGTTTAAACATGCTTTATTCTTTATGCACAAATTTCATTGTGCACATGTCTTTCAAAGAGATGACATAAAAATAAACAAATGGCAATAAAAACGTTTTGCAACAACTGTAACGCCGTCTATTTAACAGAAAAGAAATAATTTTAAAACTATGAGCATAGCCTTATAAAAGTTTAACAAAAAACAAATGAGATCTTCTCTTTTCAATTATTTAAATATATATTGTCTATGTGATTATGTTTTTCTAGCAAAACAGTGTAGAGTATTTTTGCTTCTTCTTAAATTATTAATTAATTTTAAAAAAAGAAGTATGGTAACATGGGTCTAAAAATGAGATGATGACAAGTAGGTTAAGTGAATAGGGTCTTTTCTCTCACTCCATAAATCTGCATTGACTCACACCATGTAATCTATGAAGACAGATATAAATAAATTTTGCAAGAATGATCTGCATCAGATAACTAAAAAATTCTTCAAAATACTGTGTAACGTCATGACGGGCGGCAGAGCCGGTGTAATCAATATGCTCGTACCGGGGAGGGATATTTTAAGGAGAGAAAAATTTTGGAGGCCCCAGGCAGTAGGAAAAATAGGGCTCTCTCTGTATGTATGATATGCCTCGGTTTTTGAAAACGATACCAAAGCATGCATTTTTGATTTTGATAACTGCGTGACATAGATCAGTTATTAAAGTATGTTACTTCAAAACAGGAATTTCATTATCATTTTCTGCCACCCGGCTTGCCTCGTAACCATGGGAACGAAAACTGCGGCTAAGCGAAAACCACAGTCGCCTAATTTTCCCCCATTCCTTTTCCGCTTAGCGTGTTTCCCTTTACAAAAAGCGCACGAATGATGGCTGACTGAACCTGCAGCCTCAAGTGAGGTGAATAAAATAAGTGCAATGCAATGATCACGGCACGCGTTACGAATGCAAATGATAAAGGGATGGCAGCGGCCTTGAAGTGCATATTCTAAAGGAACAGACTGTATAGTTGTATTGGAAGAGTATTTAACTTCATATGGATTTCTGCTGAATGGCAAGAATTAAATTTTGCAGCAATATAGTACGCCTTCTTATACGTAGGCTTTATTAAATTTGGTTTAGTAAAGAAAAAAAATGTTTCAGAGGAGTATTCATAACTTGTGAAATTTATGCATGCAATTAACATGCTGTATTTCTCAGCGCATAGTCTGCGTAGCGTAATTTTTGGTTACCAAGAATTTATTGACGATAATAGATTAGAAAAATGGATAAATACCAAATAATTTTCTTATTACAGTCAAATGGTCACGGTGATTAATATTAAGAACTCTTCTATTTTAACTTAATATCAATGATTATAGATATTTATATAATTTTATACTCCATACATGATTTTTTGTTGTTCTAGTTTGAAATAAGATGCAAAATAGTTTAAATGTTGGCAATTTTTAATGAGATAGAGGGAAAAAATGTTTTGTTCTGCTGAAGTAGAATACCACTGTAGTTAAGTGAAAAAATTCTGACGCATTTCTTTCTTTCTTTCTTTTTTTCTTTTCTTTTCTTTCTTTTTTTTTTTTTTTTTTTTACTGCATTTGATTCCAGTTTGCAGTTGATTCCAACTACAACAATTTAGTCCTACAGTTTTTTTACATGGCATAATTACGGACCATGCTATCAGTGTCCACTGATGGAACCACTGTTACAGAGCCTGAATTTTGTTTCTTGGGTTTAGTTTGTTATATTAATCGGCTTAACGAGTTTTAAATTTGTTGCGTACTTTAAAAGAAAAATTGTCATGTAACCGACTCAACTTCGGAAACGGCTTAGTTACAGATCTCATGCAGAACATTCAAGTGATTGCTACAAAACTAGGAGAATAAAAGGGCAGTTAGGCAATAATTCACTGTCGTATCAAGCGGCACCCCCGTAATGCGATACCATTGGAAACTTCCTACAACCGCCGAAAGTGGTGCTGCCGCGCAAATTTTATTTTCTGTCTGCCCCGTGCATTGCCCAATGAGCAGACACCACTCAGATCTCGAGCAGATGAGATTTGGAGTGGATAAGCTGATGTTGTGGTCTCTGTGTAGAGACCTACGGGAAGTTAAAGAATGTGTGTTTTTGCGGAAAACATGCCAGCGGATGCGCATTTGTGAGTATACAATGAGATTAAAGGAACTGTCCATTTGGAAGGCAGTTATTTGTCATACAATGTTCGAATAGATTTCAGAGAAATAACATTTCCTTTCTGCAAATATTAGCCAACTCTTGTAAATTAACCCCGAAATTAGCGCATGTAAACATAAAAACAACTTCTCGGTTATCGTTTAAGCTTGTAAGAAATATATTAACAAAATTAGTTAATGCCAATGTACTTTCCATGAACCTGGCGTATTATTTAAAAAAAAAATATATATATATTAATGCGATAATGAATAACTTGATTATATGCTATTTAATTATTAATGAATTCATTTCAGATGAAGATCCTGTAATGTTCTCAATCTGTTAAAAACAATAACATGAGAAGCAAATTTTATGTTTTACTTACTTATAAAATCAAATATATATGCTTATATTTAATTTTAAATATTTTCTGTACTATTGTTGACCTAAGTGCATTTAAATTTCAATGAAATCCTGAAAGATTTTAGTACTTTTCGATGGTTTTTTGAAGAATTTTTGAAATTTTCTAGATAACTTTAAATTATTAATTCTTTTTTATTATATATCTCATTGCTTCACGATGCAAAGGTTTAGTTAAATGCTTAGTTTATAATTTGACAAAATAAAGTTTCTTCACCCTGTCAATTAAAAATGTTAAACTGAAAACATTTATAGTTGAATCAGAATCAATATGGGGAAAGTGCCATTTTTGTGCCTTGTCTTTTTGAACACCAGAGAGTTTTGGAGGGAAAGATAAGAGAACTGTTAAGGAATTCTCAAGTTTTTTTGTATCTTCTTTACTTCTTATCTCTTCCCAAATTTCACAACAGAAGTGTAGAAAAGTTGAGTGCAAAGTTCATAAAAAATATCTATGGTGATTTGAAGAATAGCTGTGGTGCATTTTTTCAATGCTTAAGGCAGATGACAGTAAAGTTGTTTAACTTTTTAATTAATAAGATATTTATGTAATACTCAAAAATTCTCTTACAAGGAAGTTTAAAATGTGGAAGAAAATTTATTTGCGTATCAAAATTATAACTTTGTAGTCATTTGAAAATTTTATCTTTTCACCCTTAAAGTACTTAAGAAAATTATAAAGAATTTTTAGAGTAAGAAATTATTTACTATGAGTTGGAATAACTTTATACTCTATTTGATATTTTTGATTAAAGAGTAAAATTCTTAAAGGTTCTTGTAAATTGTCTTGTTTGATAATTTAAATTTTTGATTGAAGAGGAAAAATATGTAATATTATTTGTATTTTCTTTGAATAATGAAAGTTTAAAGTGCTCTTAAAAGTTACTTGTTTTGTTTGAAAATGAGCATAATTTATATTTCATATATGATTCATAACTTTTTTTTTAATTCTGAAAGTTAATTTTTAAAGTCAAAATAGTATGAGCATCATAGCAGTATTAAAATCATCTTTAGAACATGTGATAGCATTCGCTTCAGTTTTGTTAATTTCTCTTTTCTACAATTTCAGGATTCAGTGATGCTTGAAAGACATGCATGCAGTAAGAATGAATGTTGTATGTTTTTATCAACTAAAGTTAACAATCATAGGATTTCAAGTTTTGACTGGCACAATGAATAATCTAAACATAACATAACTAAATGCCTTCTTACATGTTGGGCATCTGTTTTTTTTAAAACAAGTCCTGAGTTCAACTGGGATGACAATTTTTCATATTTGTTTAAAAGTATGGCTTCATCTGGGAGTTCCATCAGTGAGGTATCCATCAAAGAAAGCCGGCTACGTTCGGACCGCAAGCACTTGTCCATATGGAATTGTCATCGATTTTGCCATGATGCATTCAGACTTCCTAGATTTAAGAACGTTGAAGTGGAAATTTTATATCAACGCTACTTCCTACATTTGAACCAAAGAAATTTGACTGCCCTTCTAGGTATAGTCTGTGCTGTTGGTAGTGTCATGCTAGTGTTCAATTATGCCCTGAGTGATCACAGATCTCTAACACATGGAATAACATTTGGTATTCTTGTGGCACTGTATTTAATAATGGCAGTTTTGAGCACTCAGTCATTTTTTAACCAAATCTATTTGTTTATATTTTCATACACAATCATGATTTCATTTTTCGTCACTATTGTCTTAGTAGTCATTGATTCACCTGTGCCCATAGCCATGTCTAGCATTTGGTGCACCGTATTCTTTGTGTACTTCGGTTATACACTTCTTCCTGTTCGTATGCCAGAGTGTCTCATCTGTGGTGTGTTGCTGTCTGTCGTTCAAATGATCTCATACACGATAGTCAATGACAGTGATCCATTCATCTGGAAGCAGGTATGTACTATTTCTTCCATTTTTAACATTTTATTTTGTCTATCATTAGATTTTCAGTATTTTACATTCTGTTTTCTGTATTCTTATATGTGTATAGTTTTACATATTTATATTCTTATATGTGTATAGTTTAGCGCTTAACATTAGCAGCATTCAATTTTGCCAGTAACTCCAGAATTTGCCTTTTTCCTCTTTAAAATTGCTAACGTTGCTTGTCATGTAAATTTAAATATTGCTTCACTTAAATTTAGCAAACCACTTTCTTTAATTTATATTTCTGTAGATTTAAATAGGAATGCGTACATATGTGAACTAAATCTGATTTCATAAATACGTTTGTGAATGCTTCTGAAAATTGAGGATATAATTGTGACTCAGTAAATTATATTTCTGCTAGTAGTAATATTTACTAGCAGAAATATAATTGAATTCGAGGAAGCGTAAATTTGATTATTAAATTTATGTTGAGCTTGGAATTTTGGAACTTAATATTGCACTGCAGAGTTTATAAATAAATTTAGCTGTTAATTGTACTGTTTCTGAAAACCGTTTTCTTAGCATTTAAGCTTTTATTATTTCTAAATGTTACATGCTGAATTTTAAATTAGTGTGCATTAAATTTTCTCTCTGTGCATGTTTACAATATCAAAATTCAGAAATAAAATGTACTTACTACAAAAAGGAATCTCTAAATGCAAACAGTTTCTTAAACACTGTTCATTATAAATTCACTGAACTAGAATTTGAATCTCTATAATATCACTAGTATTTTATTCATAAATATTTTCTAGTCTTTGCTGATTATTTGTATTTATATAAGATAACAGTCTCAGTATATTGTATCATTATTTTATATATTTAAAGATTATCTTTTAAAATTTTCGATGTCAGTGAAATGTTTGACAATATGATATGAAATACCAACAAAATTTAAATGAACTGTAAATTTTCTTTTTAATCTAGAAAAATATTCTCTTGCAGATGAAAATGTATATCTCTATACCTTATGCACATGCACCCTTACGCAAGTGTGTGGGCCAAGTATTTATGGTGCATCATAAAATGCGAGCATAGAGCATATAAAAAAAATGAAGGATTTATAAAAATTCTTGAGAACTATGATTGATTATTTTATAATGCATTTTTTCAGGTAAAGGGTATTAAAATAATGTTGGGTTAAATTGGCACTAACATATTAGTGCATATTAATTTCCTGTTTATCTAAAAATTTAATTGAATTCTGTTCCTTTATATATCTTGTAAAATTCATTGCAATTTCGGAAATAGGCAATTATTGCCCAGTATGATCTAAAACTTCATTAATTGTTGCTTTGTAAGTCTGAAAAAAATGTTTTGATTTGTGGCATTATAATTTTGTTGCTGTGTTTCTTAGAAATTATGTAGTCAGAATAATTGTATTTTACAGCTAAGCTTTAAAATATGAGCTATAAATACCCAACATAACCTTTTTTTACAGAAAAGAAATTTATTTTGGCACTTTGTTAATTCTAATTATAAAAAGCATTAAGAATACAACTCAACGTAATTTTGAAAGTTTAAAATTTTGTGAAAAATTTGTGAATGAAAACAGCATAGCTGCTTAATAATAAGATTCCTTCTTTGTAGTTAATTAGTTTTATGCATGATTTCTTTTTCTCAGTTATATTGTTCAGTTTTGATATTTGAGGTTTTTAAGGATCTGTTTATTTTTGCCATTAAATAATAAAGAATCTACTTGCATATTCCTTGCAGTGCGGAAAAACGATGACACCTAAAGCCATCAAATTTTGAATATACATAGTCCTCCACCCAACCATGTGCACTTTAAAGCCTAAATTTTGAATTTATATTTTGTATGAATTTAATGATTTTTTTATTCACAAACTATGTGATTTGAAAGCAAGCTGTGGCAACACTATTCAAAATGAAACTTTATCTCCAGTGTGCCAGACTTTACCATTCAGCAAAATGAAAGATATTTAGCTTTCAGTTTTACTAACATTAACTGGACTCGTTCATTATATATTTTTCAAAATACTTTATGTATTTTTTCTATTTTATGATAACTATTTTAAGCAACTGTGCATGCAGGCGGCTAGTAAATATAAAATGTGCATATTTTTCAGTATCTTTGTAAAGGTTTATTGATAAAGACCATTATTATAATATGACAACTTAGTAAGAAATATTTCCTTCCAAGCTAAATAACTGAAGTTTCATTGATTGTAGTGCATGATTTCTTTAGTAAGTTATGCATATTTGGAAATCAGTGTTAAAAGTAGAAAAATTAATGTCTTGGATTGAGACTGAATTGAAAAAATATTTTCAATGATATATATGACAATCAGGTAGCTGTCATGGGTGGTATGCATATGTGAGCTTTATAATTGTTTAGTTGGCATTTAATTAAAATTCTTTCCTGTTTTGGCATACCAAGCACCAAACACTGTTAATTCTACTAGGTTTCTAATCACAGTAAATGGGCTAATTACATGAGAGTGGAATGTAAATATTTTCCCTGTGCTTGAATCTATAAAAAAAATATTCAACGAAAATATCCTGCTCTTAAGGCAGACAGGCCTTGTTATTTTGTTTTTAATCCATTTATCCATCTGTAATCTATTAATCCTCTCTTGACCTATACTAAACTGACCCTCAGAGAACAAAATAGATTAGATTGCTGAATACTGGTAGTTCAATTTAAATTCTAGTCCTATGAATGGTCTCATTGTATTGTTGTTTTCGTGGTTTTTCTTATGCATACTTTGAATATGGACCAGTTTCCAGTGCAAGAAAATGAAATAAGCATCCCTTTCCTTAGTCTGATAGTTCTTGCAGCCTTATTCAAATTAACAAACATGTAATGAGGCAGGATGAATATACTTTCTGAAGATTTAAGTTTAAAATTTCTTATGATGTATATATGGAATATTTTTGGCATTAAAATATAAATGTGTATCGAATTTTAGATCTTTTTTGTCATAGAACAGCATGTGGTGAACAGTTTTCTATAGAAAATGTATGTACCTTCTTGATACTTCCCAGTGAAAAAACTTTTGCTACTATTAATTTATTTTAGGTGCTGTAAAAATTTTCAAAAAATAACAATAATGATTAATAGCCAATCAATAATAATGATTAATAGCCAATATTACTGTATGTATCTTTCTGTAAAAATATATTCTCCACATGTATATCATATAAATCTCATACTTATTTGCCTGAGGATTATTGAAAGAATTTTGGTTTTTCTTTTTCGTGACACTAATTTAAATTGTTTGTGAAATTATTTCCAAAACTACAAAAATTTAATACTTGAGTCAGTTTATATATTGTACAGTTATTTTATTGAACAGCATGTATAAATTAAAACTACAAGATTATAAATATAGTTCTTTGTTTGTAAAATTTGTTATTTTTATCTAAAATCTGTTTTGGTTTAGTTATTAGCTAGCTGCCTTCTGTTTCTTGCTGTGAATGTGGCTGGTATATTTTCTCATTTTCCAAGCAAATCCTCTCAAAGACAAGCATTCATGGAAACAAGACAATGTGTAGAAGCACGGCTGAACATACAGAGAGAGAACCAACAGCAGGTTTTGAAGTTTTTACTTTTTAATATATTTTTATTGTTTTTGCTATTTATTATTTCAGTTACATGCATCATATTTTAAATGAAAAATTCTAAAATTGGCTTGTACTTCTTGTTTTTCCTAAAAGGTATTGAATAGTTTGTATTAAATTATTTAATCATATTTCTTAAATTGGATCTTTCATGTACTTGAAGGCTGTTGTATTAAATTTAATTTAATCTCTGAGATATGTGGAGGATATGGATTTACCTCTGAATCAAGAATTTCTGTCTGGCTACTTCTTAATCTGCCCCTAATTATCTTTATTATTTATTTTTCAGCTGAGATTATAATCTCAGACTTTTACCCCTTTTTTGAAAGCAGTAAATGAATTACATGATTTTTATTATGCATTGATTTCTTTGATCGGATAGCTATCAGAAAGTAGAGATGTTTATTAAATAAAACTAACTAATTTTTTTCATTTATAAAATAAAAGTAGACAATGCATTCCAGAAGTTTTGAAGAAATTTAGGAATTATTAATAAAGGCTATTATATTACTGATTTAAAAGATGATGGCCAGATCTTTCTTTCAGGTTCATGTATTATTCAAACATTAATTAATTATAAAACAAACTTAATTTTGTCTTGGAAAATTAAATGATGAAATTAAATTAAACTTTATTTAATGTATTAAAAGTTACTTAAATCTGTTATAAAATAATAAAAAAAATTATGTAAATTTCTACTATGTGTTCTTACAGTATTATTATCTAGTAATAATTATTAAAAACATATTAAATCTGTAAGCTAGCAATGGTATGAGTGTGATAGTATAATACAGTATTATTATTTAGTAATAATTATTAAAACATATTGAAATCTAATATAATTACAGTTCTAATTGTACTAACATTAATAAAAAGAACTAACTCTCTTTTCTACAAATTGTAAAATTCATTAACCTGTATTTGGAAAACTATATATTGATGACTACTGAATGCAAAGGATTTTCACAGCAAATACAATAACTTTTCTAGCAGAGGAGGCTAAAATAATTTTAAAACTAATTTATAGCAAATCATAGATAAACTATATTCTACTGTGAATTCCTTAAAACAATAAAATAGTACCTGGAAACAGTTTTCTTGGTCTATCTGATTGTTATCCATTTTTCATGTGTTTTAAAGATATTTAAAATCTGTTCAAAAGTTGGTTTTATTTGTCAAAATCACTTTTTAGTTCTTATTTGGACTAGTGAAATGCTTAAAATAGGGTAATCATTGTAATGTTTTTCTGCTGTTGTGTTTTGATGTGAGATATATTCAGTTGCATTTATGAAATATGTTTTTCTAAATTTTTCAGGTGAGAAAGCTTTCTTAGACTATGATTCATTGTCCTTTCAAGATTTTTTCTTTTTCTTTTCCTCCCCCAACCCTCAAATTTTGCTAATTCTTATCATATGAAGTATCCACTACTTTATATAAATTATATTTTTATAAGATTATAAAAATTAAAATCTCATTTTTATATATTTTTATAATTTCGGCATTATATATTCTGCTGATCAACTTAAGGCTATATTTTCTGAATAAACTGAATAAACAAAGCATTCAAACTAATACTTTGTGTATATGGTCTTGATTGAAAATTTTTTATATGTGTGTATGGTTAAAGTGCATATAAGAGGCCAAAACAGGCATTATATTTGCTGTGAAATAATTATTTTGTAGCTATATATATATATATATATATAATATATGTAAAATATTGGGTCACAGTGAATAAGTCCATGCTGTTCTTCATTGGGTTGGTGTTTTTACCATGCCATTATTTTATCAGTATAAAATCTACAGATATACTCTACAAAACAATACAATATGCAATAACAAGATATTGATCATTACATCATAAATCAATGATTATTCACTCATTCACTCAGTGGTGTAATCATCTTTGTTAAGGACTGCCTGCAAGTGTTCAAGTAGAAGTTCAGTGCCTCTCCTGTAGTACTGTTGTGGTTTTGAGTTGAAAAAATATGTTAGCCAGTTGCTAAGAAAAGCTTCATCATGAAACTCCTGTTCCTTAATGTGTTGTTAGAGAGAGACCATAAAGGTAATCTGAAAGGATGCTAAATATGTCGAACGTGTTCATTTTTCTCTACTTAAAATTCCATACTGTTTAGGCTTGAAAATGGCCAAAATGAGATGTTAACAACATGCAAGCTCCTGTTCACAGCAATCAAACTCTAATCTGAAGAGAAGCAGTTAAATAATGAAAGATGAAGGCTTCACAATGCAGTTCTGCCAACCCAATGGAGAATGGCACAGACTTATGCACTGACCCAGTATATAAACAGAAAGGAGACTTTTATATTGAGAATTATAGATAGGTAATATTTTAGGAAAAAAGAAATTAGTTTATTTACATTACAGTGGGTTGTTTAGCTATATAGCTGGCAAACAAATGCAATGATTTCATTTCATTTCATGACATCAGTGGTTATTTTAAATGTTTATACATTTAAAATGCCAACTGCAGAACAGCGGGAGATAAAAGCTTAATTATAGGCAGGTTAAGCGCAATTTTAAATGTTTATAAGAATGCACTATATTTCAAAATCACCCAAATTATTAAAATCATAAAATGCATTTTAGTCAAAATTAGTATCATTTAATCAATGCATTTTTAATTCTGCAATATTTTTAAACACATCCTTTTTTTGGGTGGGAGGGGTTAACTCAGCATAAATTTTAAAGGTATATTTCTAGAATATTTAAAAATATTTTTGTGAGTGTAAATATTGTGGTTTAAAAAATATTTAATTTATGATAATTTGCATTTCAGGAACGCTTGCTATTATCTGTATTGCCACGTCATGTTGCAATGGAAATGAAAGCAGACATAGCTAATAAACCTGAAGATACCATGTTTCATAAAATATATATTCAAAGACATGAAAATGTTAGGTATGTTATGTTAGGTAGTGTTTTATGTGTTAGGTAATGTTTATGTAGTCTTTTTTTTTTCCTGTGCTGTGTAAAGCAGATTTAATTTTGCATATTCTTTGAAATTATCAAAACTTTACCTTTGTGATAGTAACTCATTGTTTTTGATAAAAATCTACAGTATGTAAAAATTCATCATTTTTAAATGCAGTCTTCAGAAAATTAGATCTAAATCTTTCTTGTCTAAACATTTTGATAAATGCATAAAAAATTCATTTCTTGAAAATTTTATTATTTTTGTGTATTTGTTTTAGTGTCTTTTCTGTATAAACTACATTTAAAGATAACCATCAAATGATTTTGAATGACGAATGAATGTGATATGCTAATAGATCTTAAAATTTTTTCTCTTTTAGTATTTTATTTGCTGACATCTGTGGTTTTACTAGTCTATCTTCTCAATGTACTGCAGAAGAAGTAGTGAAAATTCTAAATGAGCTTTTTGCAAGGTTTGACAAATTAGCAGCTGAAAACCACTGCTTGAGAATCAAACTGCTAGGTGACTGCTATTACTGTGTAAGTGGATTACCTGAGCCACGAGTTGACCATGCCCAGTGCTGTGTAGAGATGGGTCTTGATATGATAGAAGCTATTGCGTAAGTTCTTTGAATTTCAGTATAATTTTTTAATATCATAAACCTAAAAAAAAGTAGAAACAAATATTAAATTTCAGATTTCACGTGGTGAATTAAAAAACTGTTTGGTATTTTCCAGTTATTAGGATACTACTCTCTTTCAAATGCAAAGAGGACCCCCTTCTAATGGCTGAGTGACTATAATAAGGCCACTTCATAATTAAGACCACTGAATATTGAGCTCTCGACCTGGGTTTGATCCCATGCAAATTGAGGTGCGTGGTTTTTTTCCAATGAATACGAGCCAGTTTCCCGTAGAAATTCTTTCATAAAGACATCATTCTCCTAAGCAAGCACCTCGATGAGCTTTGGCATACTTGTATAACTTAAAACCTAATGAAATGGTAAACAAACCTGCTTTCGTTTGATGTTAATTCTAACTAGGTGGCAATCCTAATGATAATACTGCTTCAGGGAAAGAATAAGTGTTTTATTGAATTAAAAATAAATGCTGAAAACAAAGACAAATACAAAAATTTTCATGTAAGAAAAATAGAAAATTAACTAGATTAATTTCTGGTTACATGGGAGCCATAAAACTGCCAATTTCATTTAATATTACTGAAAATATATCTAGTCTAGAGTATAGTATATCTAGTCTATATATCTAGTCTATAGGAGTCTTTTCATGCAATTGACTCTGCATTAATTTAGTTAAGTAGTAATCTAGGTGAAAGTAAAGAATATCACATTGACCTTTATTTCACTGCTTTGTAACCTTTCAATAGTTTATGTATGCCATCCAGTGTCAAGATCTGTAAAACTGTATTTACAATAACTTAATCAGATGATTTAGAAACTGATAGATATGAACATCTCTATAGATGTTCATATCTATCAGTTTCTAAATCATCTAATTTGAGCACTTTCCAATAGAATAATAATTTATACTTCCTATTAAAAGACTGCAAGCTGGTAAGCACCAGAGTAAAGTCTGCAGTTGATTTATCAAGTCAACCTTGTCCCTTTTAGAGAAAACAACAAAATCAGCTACTGTAAAACTTTGAACACATATTTAAGCTTGGGTGTTCAGCTTGATAATAGAAACTTGGGAGTATTAGCAAGCTACAGAAACCAAAAGGAGGATTTCTTTTTAGCCCACCTTAGAGTCAATCCCTCTCAAACAAATCATAATTATCTTTGAAATAGAGGGTGAACCTGTTTATTCTAACTGTAATGCTATTTTGTCAGTACATCACTTTTCAATAGAATGTCTGTATTTTAACAGAGTTCTTTTAAAGTATTTTAGCAAATGCGACTTACTTCTTGACTGTACAGTTTGGAAAGAGGTAAACACCATTTTTTTTCAGAACCGATAAAAGATGGGTCTTTATTATTTAAATTTATTTGGTTTCAAAATAGTTTCTTGGTATTATTCAGAAGTCAAACAACAAAAATAACTGTTATATTTGCAAGTTTTCACAGGACTAGTTTTGCTGATTTTACTGAACCATCATCCTCAGCTGCAAAAGTGCAAATGAAGGAGATAAGATATAGTGATAAAAATGGCTGGACAAAAGTTAAACTACTGGTGCCATCTATTGATGAAATGAGAACTAAAACACTATCTCCTTAAAAGCTAAAGGCAAAGTTGGATTGGATTTAGGGTCGTTAACTAGAACAGAAAGATTTTTCTGAATGTGAAACGCCTCTAGAATATCTAATTCACCAATGAAGATGTTTTCTGAATAATTTTGGCTGCAGAAAAATTGAAAATGTGATTTTCGGACCAACAACATCGGGTAACACAAGGACTTCTGTGTTTACTTTTTTCTCGCATATACCTCATGTTCCTTAACTCAAAATTTTAAGGCTGTCTTAGTTTGACAAATGTAAATCAAACAGTGCTGGCAAGGAATCCTTTAAATATCCCAGGAATTCATATTCGGAATGGGGTCGTTAAGTATGGAACTCTGAATTTTATTGGTATTATTTATAAACAATTTGCAAATTTAATTTCTACAAAATACTTGCAGGCATTATTTCCTTCAGAATTGTGTAGGAACATTGGCACAACCTTGGCGGGATCTTCACCAATTTTTATGGTCGACAGGATACTACATAGTACCTAAATTTCAGTGTATAAAAGAAAGAAATGTGAAATTTTATTTCAGTGAACACATTCTACTCATGTATTTACCTTTTAGTTATAATGGAGCATTTTCATTTTGTAAATATTAGCAACAAATTTCTAAAGTGTTGTCTGCTACATAAGGCTGAAAGAAATGCAAATTTGCATTCCATTTGAAATAAAGCAGTGCGTCCCCTGCTTGGGGTTTATTATTTATGATATTTTCTAAAGATTCATTTGTAATATATTGGCCATAAACGTTTCCATTTTTGTCAAAACCTTTAATTTTACTTGGAAGAGTAATTTGGCAAAAATAAAGCTTGTAAATTTCATGGTATAAAAGAGTGAAGTATGAAATTTTCTTCTAATTAACATATTTTAACACATTTTACTAATGTATTACTTTTAGTTGTAATGAAGCATTTTTTAAAAAGCATTGGCAACAATTTTCTGCATTGTTGTAAGCTACGTAAGGCTAAAAGGAATGGAAATTTGTACCTACTCATTATCAGGTATAGTAGTAAATAGAGGACCTGTTTTAGTACGAGTCTGTGAATGTCTATCTATTTTTTGAGTCATTGGGTAATCGCAGCTCATATAAATATTTTGCTAAATATTCCATTTTTAGCTTCCAGGGGTTAAGCGAAATAGTTGCATGAATTTTTATATGTTTTTTTACCCTTCATCTAGTGTAAATGCAAGCAAATGTTTTTTAAGATGCCATCTGAGAACTTTCAGTTGTTGATTTGGTAAGGAAAGCTGCTCTCTCCCCCCCCCCCCCCAAAAAAAAAAACTGGTAGTTCATTCTAAGTTCTATTGTTCATTTCTAAAAATGCAGTAACTAAGAAGTTATGTCTATTTTATAATTCATGATGATGCCAGAAAAACAAGCTTTTTTCCTCTTTGCTTATGTAAATGTTTATTAAAAGAAGGATTTATTTGTTCAGGGAGTTCTTAAGATTTCATATTTAATGTATCATATTTTTATATTAATGTCATTATTTTATATTAATTTCTGAACATTTTCTGTATTTGAAAGAGTGATGGTTAAAATATCAGTGTTCATGCTGTTATAAAATTGTTTTCATTATTTCAAATGATTCTTATAGATCATGTTCCTAAATGCATATATCTTTCTGATATGAAAGTCAGTTACAGAGATATCAAAAGGGAAAATTATGTTTACTGTCTATGAATATGAGTCAATAATTCATTTAAAATGAATTTGTCTTTTTTAAAAATTAATTCCTTTTTTAAAAATCTAATCACTGTAAAAAGATGTCTTAAGAAATTTTAAATTCTGTTATTACTAATGAAGGTAAAATAGCAAGATTCAATTCTGCTATATTTTAGTTCAGTTGTAGTAAAATCTAGTTTGAAAGATTTTTATTCTATCTTATGTTACATCAAATTTGCTGTCATGCCAAAAATTAATTAATTAATTAATTAATTAAATTTAAAAAATGCTGATCAATTTAAACATTTATTGGCACTTCTCTGAAATAATATATTCTGAATTATTGTCAAGTGTAATGATTAACCACATTGATTAAAAACTTATCCTTTTTTATTTGTATTTTGTACTGTTTGTGTCTAAATCTTCTATATAAATTAAAACTGTATATATATTGGAAAAAAAAAAAAAAAAAAAAGTTTAACATTTTAAGGATTTTTTGTGTAACTTATGTAATTTAAAATTGTCTTTGTTAACACTTAGTTTAGTCCGTGAAGTAACTGGTGTGGATGTCAACATGAGAGTGGGAATTCACACTGGACGAGTCCATTGTGGTGTCTTAGGTTTGAGAAAGTGGCAGTTTGATGTATGGTCAAATGATGTCACCTTAGCAAACTACATGGAAGCTGGTGGAATCCCTGGGTTAGTGATTTTTCAGTGTCTTGTGATTTGCCAAGCATGGGCATTTAGATTTTACAAATCATTTAAATCTTTCTTGAAATTCTTTCTTTACTTTTACTGAATAACTGAATTTTTACTTAAGTGAAGTAATTGACTTAAAAAATTGGAATATTTCTCACTAATTGGAGGATAATTTGAGATTGTAATTTAAAGTTCTAATGTATTTTCTGATTATCTACACCTTCAGATATTTTTGAGTATACATGCAGCAATAACCAACCTACACTTGCATACCTCATACATTTTCGCATGGATTTGCATACTTTATCTTTACCATCATTTCATTGAATAGTATTCACTTGTTGTAAAAGTGTAAGTATGGTCCATACATATTTTTGTTTTTCTCAGATTTCTTGATTCTTATAAAAATGCTTTTATTTTTATTATTTATGAATAGACTAATGCTTATGAGCAAAGGAGATACCTAAACAAACAACAGTTTTCATTGATTAATAAAGTTGCCAATAAGTTAGAAACTTTTTGTTAGACATTTTGCAGATAATCAAATTACCAGTTAATTAAATGATAAGATCATAAGCATTTATATGAAAGGTTAGTGAATAAAGAAGTATTTCTGCATTAAATCAATTTATATGTGCACCTGCAGATATACAGGCATATATTGGGATATTGGGTACTTTTCCATTTTGCCGGCACAGGCGATAAAGTTGCCTGCCAATAATGGTACAACTGATGCCAAACAGAATATCCTAGCTGGTAACCTTTTACGCCTTATTTTCAAAACCAATAGCAGCCATTTCTTTCTTATCAGATTGATTGTTTCTTTCAATACTGGCATAGAATTATATAGAATTTTTACCAGATATTTCAATTTTATGCCCCAAGGCCATTTGTGGTAATTAAGTCAATTAAAATTCAATTACACAGCTCACCCAAAGTCAAGGGTTAAATTCATCAATTCTAATAAGAATGCACTAGTGAAGTAAAGCACTGCGGTTTTACATAATTTCTGAATAAGCTATTCGTATGAATGGAAATAATTCTTGCATTTACACTTGTATTCCCAATTAAGATTTAACTTGAAATTAATGTAGATAATAACTGAGAGAATTAGATTTTTGTAGCATAGTTTAACGTGAGATGAGATCACTTGGGGTCATGTGATATGAACCAGCGAATCAGGATGGTGAACCATGAAAGCATAGTGCATTCTTAAATTCATGTCTTTTACAAATTTATTGTCTTTTCTTACAAAATTTTAAACAATATTAAAATGTTTATGCCTTCAAAATAAAAAAATTCAAAATTTCAAAATAAAAGAACTAACATTTGTTAAAATTTTTTATGTGTATGTTGTCGCCAATAAAGCCTGCTTGCGCCGCCATAACAGAAAAGTACCAGATATTGTTTCAACTTTCTTGTGCTTTCTTGTTAATTGCAGTAAAATTATTGCAAATAATTACTTTCAAAATGCAAGTAAAAAAAAAGAAAAGATAAACTGTAATTGACTTATAGCCTGTACAAAAACTAAATGGGCTTAACGAGAACTAAGCACGTTCACATAAAATCAAAGCTAGGATCTTATGACTGTGTTATGATGTCACGCTTATCCATTACCAGTGTTAGCCTCATCCGTTCTTGAAGAGACTTAATGTATTACATGCATACATCGTATACACTGCCCTATTCAGTAAAGTGGTTAATGTATTGATTGCTATAATGTTGGTTCTGGGTTTGAATACCTAGTGAAATGCGTGGTGTTTGCAGTTACCTATTCCCTTACTCTTGCAAGTGTAATTTAAGTCACCCATTGTAGTCTGTCTACCTTGGCAACCCTCAACCTCCTCATAGCACGATAGCTAAATGACTGATGAGCTGGGCTATTCTTAATGAATACTTAATGAGCAATCCTATCCATTGGATTAATTTTTGAATATATTTGATGCAGTGAATCATATATTTAAAAAAAAAAAAAAAAAAAAAAAGGAAAGTTTTCAGATTTTACTACACTCAAAGGGGCTTTTTTAACATTTTGTGTTACCTTTGTTTATAAGATATCATGTTTTTCGCACTTAAACCATAAATTTCAGCATAAAATTCAACAGCAATATCATAAAAAAGATACCTTGCGCATAAAATATCCGTGCTTGAAGATGCATGCGATGTTAATCGAATGCTTTGAAATCGTTGAGTTTTACAAAATATAAAATAGATAATAAAACAAATTCCAGATTCCAAATTTGGGTTTCCAGATGCCAATATTCGAGTGGAGGACTGCATTATTCAGAATTTGATGTTTCTAGGTACTCTTGTTTTTTCACAATGTAAGAAATGTACGTACATTCATACAGATTCTTCATTTATTATTTAGTTTCATTATTTTTTTAATGTTATATTAATAAATTATTTAAATTTTTAAATATAATGCATGTCTCTAATATTTTGGTGAAAACATTTTGAAAAAATGATTCAGACTTTTATAGTGAACCAGTGCCATAAAATGAATGCTAGACAAATTGACCCTATGGGCTAATAAAGTGGATTTTTAATATTTTTTATTTAATAGTAATTTTTTATTTTTTATTATTTCCATTTTATTTATTTATTGGTAAAATAGTATATTATAGTTAAATACAAATTTAATTTGTATTCATTATTTTAATGATTATTATTTATCTCTTATTTTCTTTACTTTGATTCAATTTTACTTTATTTTAAATCTTATAAATATTTTTATATTTAAAAACTATTACCATTTGCAAGTAAAAATTTTGATGTGTTTTGATCAAAAATTAACTTTGATTCTTTTCCTGTAATTATTTAATGCAATATGCAATGTTAATTTTTCAGGAGAGTAGATATTATTGCTGTATAAGTTCTGATAGAATACTTTTATTAAACCTGTAGGGGAGAGTATAAATATTGGGCAGATTCAAATGCTAATGTGTAAATATTAGGTGGATTCAAATGCTAAAAGTGTTATTATGGTCACAATGAAAGAAAATCGCCAAACACAGATTATGCGGCTTGGTAGGGGAAAAAGAGGGGGAAGAAAAGAAAAAGGAAAAAACACCAATGCATGGAAAGACTAAAAATGTCAGTGAAAGAAGAGTAAAATGTTACAAAATTACTTATATTTATTTGTGTATAGTTTTTTTACTTATACTAATTTCTTGCATTCAGTGTTTTGTGAGCTTCTTGCATATACTTTCTCAAATTGCTGTTGATATTATTTCCAAATGGTTTTCTTTTCCTATGTACTGGTGCCATGTAAATTTTGCTAGGTGTGACTCAAGGTGATTTGAAATTATACATAGTATTCTTTCAAGACAAAAAAATTTTACTTTATAATAGAGTATGTGAAATTGATTACAGAACGCACCTTTATTGAATAAATTAGGTTTTTGTGAGACCCAATTTGAGATGCAACGTTAAAAGATGCAGAAAAAAAAAGAGAGGCGTTCTTGCTGGAAATAAACTAGTTCTTTGGTTCTCAACTATTTTTTTTCAGTCATTGTAGTTTATTTACACATGGGCAGAATATCCATCCATTAAATGATCTAAGGACCAGTTAAAATGTGTGAAACAGTTGTAGACTGAAAAAATTATTACTTATATGAAGTATTAAGTGGGGTTTGTTATCATTTGGCAAATAGTTGTGGCAATTAATCAGAGAGGTGGTGATTTTCTGCCGTGGCTATAGTAACACAAAAGCACTCATCCTGATGTTAATTTATGTATGCATTTACATTTTACAGAAGTATTCAAAATGATTATTTTCTAACAGACATGTTCACATTACCCGGGAGACTCTGAACTGCTTAAACAATGAATATGAAGTAGTTCCAGGTTATGGTGGAGAGCGACACAAGTATTTGAGAGATCATAATATTGAAACATTCCTTATAGTACCAGATGAAAAGAAACGAATCAGTTCTGTTCGTCCTCCCCAGTATACAACTCCTAACAATGTATCCAAAGAAATGAGAATGATGGGGCATTCTGATCTGCGCAAGTTTGACAATAGGTAGTATTTTGTTCTCAAATTTTTATTTATTTTGGTACCTCGAGTTATATATATGTATATATAGTATTTTAAATGGTTATAAGAACAGCTTTCAGAACATAAATCATTACTCACCAGGACATGTTTTTGAAAATACTCAAGATTAATAAAAGTTAAGATTAAACTATTGTAAATAAAACAAAATTCATAAGAGAATAAATGTTTGTGGATGTATATATATGTATATTAATTATTTGGTTGATATTTCAATCATTCTTTTCTAAAAAGCTGCTAAAACAATTATGCACTTGTATTAAATTGGCATAAATTCACACCAGTCTGTAAATTAAAAATCTGCTGACTTTTTGTGATCATGCTGAATTTTTCAATGCATGGACTTTTTTTAATTTGTTTTGATTAGAAATTTACTTTTATGCTGATTTCTTAAATTAGCAAAAATTTGCAAATTCAGAAAACAGATATATTAAATCTAAGCAATGCATTTTTTGCTTGTATTTTAAATTATATTCTTTATTAAAATATTTTAAAAGAGACTGAGTAATCAAAGGTAAGTGTGTAGTCCATTCTTATCCTAAAAACTAAAATGGAAAAGTTTGATTCCCATGTGAGGAAAAATAATTTCAGAATTTAGGACTTCTGACATCATTTTTTACTTGCTTTTAGAGATCACTTAATAGTGCATTAGAATAATTTGATTTCCCCCTCCATTAGATGTCATTCAGAGATGTTCTTTTATGATTTACTGTAGTGTAACATTCTTTAATTTATATATATATATATTTTATTTATTTACAGTGTGCTGAAGGAAATTTAACATGGGCTAGTTAGTGCATGTGTTTAACATTATTAGTTTTCTAATGCTATAAACATTTTATTAATATTTTCATGCTTTTTTTTACTTAAATTAAGAATTATAATCTAATAATCATACAAAAATACTGTATTCTGGAACTATAAAATTCTGTAAGATTTTGTGTATATCTTTTTTGAAAAGAATTATGTCTCAGATGTATTATATTATTAATTCTTTTCACTTTTAGTAACAACTTTAATAAGCAATATTCTTTTCTTAATCTGTTAAATATAGAAATCTTTTTCTAAATTATTTTAATTTTAGTTACATACCAGAGCAAATATTTCACTATTTAGTTTCTGTGTGATCTCTGAATATGATCTGAAACATTTTTTGGTCAATTTTTGTTGTACAGAGGTCAAACTTATGTATTTTATGTTTTAAAATGAGTATAATGTTTTACTATAACCATAATGTTTAACAATGTTCATAAGGACCTGGAGGCTATATATAAAAAAAGTTGTTGCAATTTTTAGAAGTTTTTGTTTTTAATTTAAAAAGGCCAAAACATGGATATGTGAGTTTTTAAAAAAAAAATTTATTGTTGAAAATTTGATGGTAGCATTTAATTATAATTTTGATTTGTGGTTATTTGAGCAAAGTCAGTATGGATAATACTATTTTCCTAAAGAATTTAATGGCAGACATTTCTTCATTTGCCTATTACCAAATCAAAAGCATCTGGGTACATTCATTGAAATCTTGCATGAAAAAACATGTGTAGATCAAAGCATAAGGAATCAGTATTGGCTGCAAGTTATTGTTTGAGATTGGTTTGGTGTGTTTGTGCATGCATTGGCTGCTGCTTCATTAATGGAAGCATATGCTACTGCTGTATCATATGTTAATTTTCTTCTATTTGTAGCATTTGCTGCTAACCATTAGGAATTTAGTATGCTTTCTAAAATAGTGGCATATAAGTTTAAAATTATTTTAAGGATTATAATCTTTATTAGTGTATGTACTTGGAATTTGTTGTAGAATTTTTATTGACTTATTTAATGCATTTTTAAAATTCAGTATTAGTTTGTAAAATTGAAACATTTAAATTAATTTTATTAACAATCTAAAATTTAATTCCCTGCCTTATTAAGCTATCGAAGACGAGAGTTTAAAAATCCCCAAGATGAAGTCAATGATTATTTATCTCGTGCAATTGATGCCAGGAGTATAGACAGACTCAGAGATGAACATTGCCGACCATTCACAAACTCTTTTCATAAGGCTGAAATTGAAGAAAAGGTAATTATAGATAAACCCTCAGAAAAAATTAAATTCTGAAAGTAATGTCTATTTTTGAAATTTACTGATTCAAGAAAACTATCAGCATATCTGTGAAACTTTCCATCAATCTTTTTATGTATCTAAAGCAAAAATATTTTGGGGATAAGTAAATGACTCAAAAGTATTGAGTAAAATAATCTCAAGCAAAAATCTATTTTTGAGGTACATTTTATATATTTTGTATATGTTTATAATCAGATTTCTTGATTTTGTTTACTTGCAAAATAGAAAAATAAAATAAAATTACACTGAAAGCTAAGTTGATGCTGTTTCACACTATAAAGCTTACTGATTTTTTAAAAGAATCCAGGGGGGAAATCTCATCATTATATGAATCATTATTTTTTTTTAATGCACCTAGTTGCTTGTGTGCATGTCATAGGTTCTCAGGTTTTCCTTATAATAAATAATATACATTGTATTATTAAACAGCTAATATTTGTTCGTTTTGTTTTAGAGTTAAATTTCTTTAAATATCATTGTGTGTATATGGCCCACCAGCGGCCGAGCGGTAACGTCGCTGAACACTGGTAGTTCGGTCCGAGGTTCGAATCCCGCAAACGGGCTGGCTGCATGGGTGTTTTCATGGTTTTCCCCATATGTAACGTGTATACGAGCCAGTTTCCCTTAAAAAGTCCTCCACAAAGGCATCCTTCCCTTAAGGCAGATGGCCCTCGAGTGCTTTGCCGTAATCTAATAAACCAAACCAAAAACCATTGTGTGTATATGTCTATGTGCATTGTCTGTCTGTGTGTGTGTATAAAAATCTATAAAAAGTAATTTTTTCCAGTAATTTTTGTTTCGTAAAGATGCTTATAAATTCAGGTAACTAATTATTAAACATGTGTCTGAGTAACATAGTAACATAATTACAATAAATCTTTTCCAAATGCATCATTCCTTAGTTTATGGTTTTCAGTATATAGTACTTGTATAATACTAGTCATTCACAAATTTACATATCATTGGAAATTGAAATCATTTAGTTAATGCTGTTCATAATGGAACTTTCAGTAACCAATTAAATTAAGATATACTATGTTTCTCTGTTGAGAAACAAATTTACTATTTAAGTATCTTTCTAACATAATTCTTTCCTATATATTGCACCTTGTAATAATTCTAAATGTAACAGGGTTGGCACGCTACCTGGAAAACCTGGAGAACCGGGAAAAGTCAGGGAATTCGAAAATTGACCAAAATATTCAGGGAAAAGTCAGGGAATTTTAAGTATTTTTGTCAAAATCTGGAAAAGTCAGAGAAGTTCATACAACGATCCCGCCAAAAAAAGCGATTTTTGCGCCGACGTCGGAAGAGGTAACTTTTTTGGCGAATTATGTATCACGTGAGTGTCATTCGGGTAGCTGGCATAGAGCCAAATTTCGCAGCTCCAATTTGATTGTCTTTTAGAAAGGCAAAGCAACTTTTGGTTTCCAATATTCTCGAGAATCGCATGTGCAATGAATGAACTAAAGAAAGTACCTGTTCTCGTATAAAACAAAATGGGTTTAATCCTCGTATACAGTACCATGGAGGTTAGAATCAAAGAATATGTATTGTAAAGAAGGAAAACCTCTCTGCAACAGACGTGGCTGTGGCTCCGTTCCATCATAGAGGGAAAACAGCTGTGCATGTCTGATATATCTGTTGCCAAAGCTCGAAACCGGTGTCGAAGTTCGAAGGTCACGTTATCAAGAGTTCATAAAATGAATCGTTTCAAATTCTTTTTCGTTCCTTTAAAATTTCTTTAACCACTTGCGCTTAAAAAGACGTGCCACGCACGTCAAGATGCTTTTGTCTCAAACCGCGAGCGACGTGAACACCACGTTGATAAGCATTTATCGCAAAAATGAAAATAACGTGGTGCACGCGACGCCTAACAACGAGATTATTAATTTCTCGAGTTACAGCTCTGGATTGCACTCGCAGATGCGGAGCGGCGTAAATGAGACACTTTACGGCTTGTTATATTGTAGCGCACGGCACCGCAACCGTGAAGTTTAGTCTTAGCGCAAGTGGTTAAACTCTAAAGGAAAAGAAAATATTTTTTGGCACAAGTAAATTAATTCATGGATTAGTTATTTTCAGGGGGGAAAAAAACTACGAAAATCCGTTTTTAAAATTATTGCGAAAAATCCAAGAAGAAACGTCCTTTGATAAAACGTTTCTTCTTGGATTTTTTCGCAATAATTTAAAAACGGATTTTCGTAGTTTTCTTTTTTGTCAAAAAGCGTTTCTTCTTAACACGTGTTTCTCAATTTCCTGTACACATCGCGGAGAGGGAAATTCTGGCCGCCAGGTTCCGTCGCCAAATCCCTTGGCAAATTTTCCCTCCGCATTCTAGCGGCGTAATAGCATTTTACTTGTATGGAACCTTTTCTTCTTTACATAGACGTTCTTTGGTTAGATAATAATGGGATTTGGCGACATCTTGATGCGCAGTAAACGGGTCATTTTGGTCTTGGCGACAATTTTCAAAATCGTGCCAAAGCCTTACCGTATACTAGAATTTTACCGCAAAATCTTTTTAAACTTTTTTTTTTTTTTCTTTTCTTTTTAATAAATACCTTGCCACTTTGCAGTAAAATAAAAAAATAGTAATCAGTCATCTAGGCTAGCCATGTAATATAACTATATTCCCTAAAATATCGTTGATTATTCTAATTCAATTTTTAAATAATTATTTTTATGTTATTCATATAATTTAATGTTGCTTCTTCCCTCTAAATTTATTTATCATTAGTAAATAATATTTCCAAATTGCAGGAAATTTTCTCTGGCATAATCCTGAAATTAATTATAGCAGTATGATAACATACCATCACGAAATTTAATGCACATATTTTTTCCTTATGTATGCTGCAAAATAAATATAAAATACCTCAATTTATTAAAATAGATTTCTTTCTTTCGTTTAGCTGCAGAATGTCTGCAAAAAAAGCCTTATTTTATTCCAGATTGGGAAGATTCTAATCTCAATCTTCAGTGGAGAAAACAACAACTATTATAATTATATTTGTGTTTTCAAGTGTTAAGGTGCCTTTTAAGAACATACCTCACGCAAATTAAATTTACCTAAAATCTAACTTAACTATTTAGCATTGCGTTGTGATTTATAAGGACCGGATTAGCCTCGTGTTAAACTGGTGATGATCATGAGTAATAATTAAATAAAACATACATTTGTTATCCAATATATATATCTTAAATTTTATTAAGTTTCTTAAGTGGAAAACTAAACAAAATTATCAAACAAAATATACCAAGAATAATTAAGAATAAATGTCCTCTGGGATTTATTGAATAATTAAGTGAATTTGCTACACAATACAAGTAATACTGTAATTAATTTACCTCTTAGCACAGCCAACGTACATTACGCAGATAGACTGGAATTTTCTTGAAACACACCTGGAAAAGTCAGGGAATTTCATTTTCCTGTTTGAGTGGCAACCCTGATGTAACAAATAAGTAAATTTTTCTTATCTGTTTCTTTCTGCTGCAGACTCCATTTTTCAAGGCTGGTGTTTATTTTCACAGCAAACAAAACTACCACTGAAGAAAACAGCTGAATTTTGTTCTAACAAAAATTTCATTAAAATTATTTAAAGCTATTTACATTGCCTAATACTCAATTGAAACATTATTTTTTACGTATGTTGCATACTCTTATATGCTTCAAAGTGAGAATCTCTAAAAGTTCTTAGTTTGTAAGGTGGCCCTGCATGTGATAGTTAAAAAAAAAAAAAAAAAAAAATGTTTATCTGGCTGTCTGTAGTGCATTTCCTTAACGCTTAGAAAACATGTAATTTTATGTTCAAAATATTTTAACCGAAGTTCTCATTTATCATTTTAATTGCACTGCAGTGAATTACTCTGGTTTTAGATGTGTTTAGTTTCTGGATAACAATATGAGATACAGTAGATTTTCAAGTGCACAATATTAGTTTTAGGGTATTGATTGCTACTACATTATTAAAAAATGCCACATTGAATGTATATGCATACATAGTGCATTCATTTTACAATGTATTAAAATTATTTTTAATTCTTAATGAATAAAATTAGTTTTTTCCCCCAAAAAGTATATGAAAGAAGGAGACAAAATGCTGTCAACTTACTTCATTTGTGCTGGTTTCATGCAGTTATTTATCTTGATTATACAACTAGTGATATTGCCAATGTGAGTAGATATATTTCTATGCTTAATTTATTTTTATTAAAAGAGTTGATTGAATAAATTATATTGTGTATTTATTGTAAAAGTTGGTATCATTTCTGTGTATGCATCTATTTCAGATATTGGCTGCAGCTAATGTTTCAGTTTTGTGCTGGTCTTATGTTATTACTGATAATACTCACAGTTGAAGCTCCAAAAAGTTTGGTAAATATTATGTCTCTCGTGTTCTACCTATATCTCTCTGTGTGTATGCAAGATAAAAATATGTAAACCAGCTTGATAATTCAATTTAGCAGTAATCTTTTAATTTGGGTAGCTCTGCTGTGTATTCTAAAAGTACTATTAGCTTTTCTGGACTGCACCATTTCTAGATTAATCCTCACATGGCTTGCATAATGCTGATGATATAGCAGATTTGGAACCTAAACTCAAAATTTCGAGAACTAAAACCTTTCTAACCTAAACCAAAACCTTTTGTCGAGCTCCCCTGTTAGATAATTGCACACTTTAGCTTCTGTCTGTGTGCTGCTTAGATGCAACTTCGCTGTGCTCGCTTCATATTACAACAATATCAAAAACGTAAATGTTCTGGAAATAGACACGATTAAAGTGTCAAATGAATTGTGACCACAAATATCAATTTAAATAAAAATGGAATTTAATTCATATAAACTGCCAAGTTTCCTAGTCATTAAGAATTTAACATTCTATGCAAGCAAAATTCTTCCTCTTTAGTATGCCATCATATATATGATTCTCTCTTTTAAGATAATTCTACTAAAATTAATCTTGGGAGATAATATAATCAATATTCTTTAGTAAATAAATTATTATTAACTTATTAATTTGCAGCAATTGCGCAAGTAGTAGAATCACTCGATTTCACACTAAGTGAATTTAAGATCATACAACACATTATATATATATATATATATGTATGTGTGTGTGTGTGTGTATTGAAGGACCAAAATATTATGACCATTCCAATGAAATGAAAAGATGTATGTGAATTTAAATGATTTATCAAATGAAAGTAACTGTAGGCGTTTACTGACACATAATCTCCCTTGTGCCTGAAGTTAAAGACTCCTGAATGCTGGTAGTTCATCTGAAACCAAGTGAAAATAATGGCTGCATGGTTGATTTTTATCATTTTACCTATGTGTGACATGAATTACAAAGCAACTTTCCACTGTTATCCTCTGTTATCCTTGGGCAGATAGCCTTATGGGCTTTGCCAAAGTCAATAAACTTAGCCTAACCTAATCTAGTGACACACGCAAAACTCATGTCAAGTGTAAATAAAATCAGTTACTGAGGTGTGTTATCATTATTATTCATCTTCTTCAGGGATAAAAATATCAGCAGGTTTAAACAAGTTTAATAAAGGAAAACCAAGTTGAGATGGCCATATTACTAATGCCTTCAAAAGTGATCTAGTCTGAGACTGGAAAAACTATGAAGCCCTAACAATGGAGTATATTAAAATAAAGAATACCATTCTGGCATGTTTGGGCCAGTAGAAGGGTATACTGCAGACTTGGCCAACCCAAATGGTTTCACAGGCCACTTCAATGATGAGGAATGTTACAGCAGACCACATTTTAGGTAAACATGCTTTCAAAAAAATGCAATGCAAATACAGAACAAATAAAACTTTATTGTTATACTATGTTTCAAATGTAATGAATCTCTGTGATCCTTAAATAATGAGGTATTTGTTTATCCTTTCTTTTCACTTAATTTTTGTAAATTAAGTGTATTTTTTTGTAAATTAAGTGTATTCTGTATTTTTGTTCAATGTTGCATATCTTAGCTGGTTTTCTAAACTGTCATCAGTTAACGAAGCACAGGATGAATTCTTAGTACATTTCATTTAGGGGAAAAAAATAACATATGTGTATCCAAAAGCACTTACAGTGCATTTTTCGAAATATCTTATGATGGAATATCTCTCAAATGTTATCTAAGTGTTGTATTGCAAAAATTTATTTTTGACATGGATGCAAAAATTTGCTTCATTTCGTTGTTGCACTGTAATTCAGTTAATGCCATTTGCAGATTTTCAGGAATGCTATTCACATCAATTTGAAATGGGCCTGAAAGTATTTCAAACATTTTATCATATTTTGTTAATTCTGAAAAATGATTATCAAATGCTGTTGTAAGTTTCTTTATTTCATTAGCATATTTTGGGAAATTATTAAGTTTGCTTTTTGGGAAGTTATTTAGCAGCAGAAAATACTGAACATTATTTTTTCTAAATTAGCAATAAAAAAACATTAATTTCTTTTTAAAAGTTTTGATGAAACTACAAGCATTGATTATTAGATTATCTTGCTCTTGCAAGTCCTTATTTAGTCAATTAAGTTTTTCCTTGACATCCATTAAAAACATAGGTCTAACAACCAATCATCATTGCTTAATTCAGAAACAGATTCTTGTTTCTCGTTCATAAACATATCTATTTCCTCCTGTAAATTTAAAATTTTTTTCTTAGCCATCTAGCATTAGTAAAATATGTGATATCACCATATTCAGAAGATAATTTGTTAAGGAACTCTTTGAATTGCCAATGCTGAAGAGCATGTGAGTGAATGTAATTTACTGTTCTTATAACTACTTAAATAATGTGATTCATGGATAGTACCCAAGCACATAAATTTTGTTGACATATCAAACAGTGAATAATAAAATATCATTAGTGGTAATGCCTCTGCGATCTAGTTTATTCGTAAATAATTTTGCCACTCCCTTGTTTTTATCTGCAAAAGCAGGTACTTTGTCCGTTGTTAATCTTAACAGAGCCTCAAAATTTAAACTATTTTCAACTAAATATTTTTCATTTTCCTGGAAAACATAATCTCTTCTAGTTGTGTTTTTTAAATTTAAAAGACTGAATATTTCTTTGTCACTTGGAAGGAATCATTCACACCACAAATAAATATCACAAGTTTAGATATGTCTGAGATATCTATATTTTCATCAAATGCCAAAAAATGTGCTTTGAATTGGATAATTTTATCTCGCAAATTACTGCGATTACAGATGAGGTATCATCAATGTGACAATGTGTAGTTTGGCATGAAAGATTGATACTTGAAAATAATTTGCTTCTATAAAGCAAAACATCTTTTGTAAGGTAGATGGTTATTATAATAATGAATCAAACATCATTCGCTTGAGCTTTCAGATGCGATTTAAAAGCAGTTAACTTAAATGCCTTTAACCTGATGCCTTTTAATATTATATTCCTTAAGTACAATGACTGTCTCTCTACAAATTCAAAACATTAATTTCGAATTTTGCTTTCTGCAAAAATAATCCTTTCCCCAACTATCATTAAATTTTCTGTTTTCATCAACAACATTTCTTTTCTTAGAATTAATCCTTTTATTTTTTTGTTCAATTTCGATTCAAAGTCCTGTTAAAAATACTAGTATTTAATAACTTCTTTAAGTTTAATGCAAACACTTGACAATTTATAATAGCTTTTATCAATTTAACATTTTATTAAATTCTTACTAATTTTTAAATGTACTTACATCAGTAAAAATGTACTTACATCAGTAAAAATTTACTTACTTAAATAAATTTCAGACTTCCTTTGAATGTCTTCAGATGCCACTTTAGTTCAACTATCAGCACAACTTGCAAAAAACTTGACAAGCAAGTCCACCACCCATCAACAGCGGCTCGACAACTATCTCGCACATGTGGGAAAATATATTAAGGCTGGATTTGCTTTAACCTGGTTCGACAACAGCAGTATAACGCAGTATATAAAATGGTATATTTTGCGCATACACAAAAATGTATTAGAAATTTAACTGTCTACTGTTAAAAAAGAGAGATTTAAAACAGAGATACCAGAATGAATTAGAAACTCATTTAAAAAATCTCGAATTGAAATAACTGGAGTGTAGATGAGAAATGGAATCTTAAAAATGACTGTTATTGAAATTGGCAACAGAGTCTTAGGAAGATCAAAAAAGGAAGTGAGTGACGACTGGTTTTATCAAGAATGTAAGGCTGCGTTTGACCTTAATAAGGCACATAAGAATATGATTTAAAAAAAAGCATGCTAGATTAGCTGTTGACAAATATAAATGTGCTAGAAAAAATTTTTTAAAAAGACTCACCATGGTAAAAAGAGGAACTTTGAGGAAATCTTCTAAGAGATGTTGAACACCTTAGAGGAGTAGAGGAAACCAGAACTTTCTGTCATGAAATCAGAAATTTTAAACATAGAACAACACTTTATAGAGGAAAAGACGGTTCTATTTTTAGTGTTAAGAATGACATTCTACAGAGATGGAGGGAGCACCGTGAATAGTGAAATAATACACGAAATAGTGAAATAGCAAGCAAAAAATTTAGGGCCTATTAATTGAAGCCTAGAGCTTTGTGAATTTGTGAATAGGTGAATCATGCTATAAAGAAATTAAAAAATAGATCTTCTGGGCCAGAATGTATTCCTTCAGAACTATTAAAAGCTGCAGAATCTAGTTGCATTCTTCTAATCAAAAACTTAATTGAACTCATCTGGGATTATGAAACACTCCTGACAGAAGGGAAACCTAGTTCTGTCTGTTTGATACACATAAAGGGAGATGTGCTTCATTACAGCAGTTATAGAAGAAATAGCTTTCTCTGCACATCCTATAAAATACTTTTAACTAACTACTCTTTTTAATACACTTTTGCCTTATGTTGATAATGTGATTGGCAATTCTCAGTTCAACTTTAAGAGAGGAAAATTGACTATTGAACAGATTTTTCAACGTAAAGCAGATTTTTGAAAAACGTAGAGAATTTGTAATTGCAATGCATAATCTTTTGTCGATTTCAGAACTGCGTATGATTGCGTTAGTAGAGAATTGTTCATTGAGGCCAAGCATGAAATAAATATTCCAGAAGAACTTGTTGCACTGGTTGTTTTGATTCTTAAGGAAACCAAGATACAAATTCGTTTAGAACGTGACCTTAGGTACAACTTGAGATCAAAAATGGAATGAGACAGGGGGATACATTGGCATGTCTCCTGTTTAATATTATACTTGAAAAAGTTATTAGGGATTATAGAATCAATACTAGAGGAAAAATTTTTAATAAGATGATTCAATAATTGGCTTATACAGATGATATCTTCATTGTTGCCTGAACTGTTTCTGCTCTTAAACAGGCATTTGTGTCATTGGAAAAAAGGCAAAAAGATTTAACCTTTCTATTAATGAAAATAAGACTAAATATATGTCTTGTTTAAAATCTGACTTAAACACTTAGTCATTTAGAATTAGTAGCTCCAAATTTTAAAAATTCTACAATTTCACTTTTCAGGGAGCGAAAATGAATTGTAAAAATGAGATAACTTCTGAAATACTTAAAAGAATCTCTGCTGCAATTAGATGTTTTCGTGGTATTAAGAGCTATTTAAAAATCCAGCTTTTTCAAGTTAAAAACTAAATTAGTTCTTTACAAGCGTCATATAAGATCTATTTGACTTACGCATCGGAAGAATGGGCATCGATTCTACTTGATCAGGAAGCTTTGGGGATTTTTGAGGAAAGGACTTGCATACTTAGTGGGGTCCATGCAAATGGATCCTGAAGAAGCAGATCTAATTTAGAGCTATACAAAATCTATAGGCTACTTGATGTAGTAAAATTTTTGAAACTCCAGACACTTGAATAGACTGATCATCTGGGGCCAGAATGTAAGAAGATAGGTGTTATAAGAAATTTTTCTGGCTATTTGCATGGAAACCAAACCTCGAGGTAGACTCGGTAGATCAGGCATTGGGTAGGTGGTATGAATCGATTGTGTTGAAAATGACCTAAACATTATAAAGGTCATAAAAAGTTACCAAAAGCAGAGGTGCCTGGAGAAGGCCAAAGCCCACCCTGAGCTGTCGAGCCAGTGAAAAAGAAGAATTTGAACATCCCATTACATCATTTAACATTCATTCTTGGCAACAAAATCGACTCTAGAAATATGTATACCACACTCAATTGTTTAGTACTTCCTCAGCTGAAGTATTAACTGATTTTTTTTCTACCATCGAAGAAATTTGCTACATGTGCTAAGACTACATCATTTCTAAAATTTTACTTAACCTTGATGGTATTTGCAGTATATAAAATGGTATATGGTAGAAGGGAATCTGACATTTCTGAAATTTCACATAAACTGTGTAATGTAGCTGAGATTAAAGTTCAGCAAAATTAGAGGAAATTTTCTCCTCTTTTAAATTTATTCAGTCATCACTAAATTTTAATTAGATTGTGTGAAATAGGGAAAAAATTGTTATGCTCTTTTTTTGGTAATGTAAACTCAACTTTGTAATTTGATTTTTTTTTTTTTTTCTAAATATTTTTGCTGTTTTTGAAATGGATATGAGCAGAAATTTCGTTTCAGAACGAGTCTAAATTCATAGATGTGAAAGAAATCTCATACCAAGGTACACAAAAATACATGCATGCATATTACCAAAGAAAGATTATCCCAAGCATAAAAAAATGTGGTTGTCAATGAAAACCAGAGTGCTCTTTGATAGCCTCATTTGTACTACTACTTTGAGCACTAATATTTCGAACTGGGTGGTAATCTCTTTCATAAATCTTTATTATATTCTGCAAGAGAAGGAAAATATAACTAAAATCAAAAATAAACAAGACATTTTTATCATTAGTCTGAACACAGTGACAGTAGATGTCTTGGAAATTTATTGTTAAATCTTCTAAAACACTTAAACATTTAGTTCATTTAGTCAAAATCTTGTAAATGTGTTAATCTAATATTAAATATGCGAAATTTCAACAATATTTAAAACAATTCTTTCGAAATTTTAGTGATTATAAGGTTTGTGACCTTTTCGAATACTCCTTTGAATTGACTAATTTAGGCATTAAGTTGTATACACTGGCTTTGTGTTAATTTTGAGGGTTCAGATTTTGTTTAACATTGTTAGCTTAAAAGGTATTAATAGATTTTTATATATTAGATTCATGTTAGAGAATAAAGATTCAAACTTATAACAGTTTAATTAAATAATCTAGTACAGTACAAAGTCTTTAATCCAGAATCGTCGGGACTTCGAAGATTCCGGATTATAGATCATCAATTTAAATCTGGTAAGATGGCATGCAGAAATTATAAAATTAAAAATATGAAACCGTAATTTCTGAAATAAAGAAAAATTATGATCTAAAGTGTATCAAAATTTACGAAAAAAAAAAAAAAAAAGGCTTAGTATTTCTTTACTTTATAAGACATTTCTTTCAGCGTAAGTTGTAAACTTTTGCTTCGTTTTATGTTCTAATACTTTCTCTTTAATTCTATAAACAGACATAATTTCTTGTTCAGTTACAAAGTTCCGCTGTTCAAGTGCTGTAATTGCTGTGCCAAGAATACCGACTAACTTGTCAATCGAAATTTTTTTCATTTTCACTAACCTCTCTGTCACTTTCTTCATGCCTTTATCCATTTTTTGCAGCAATTCCACTTTTTGTTTGATGGAGATCGAAACATGCTTTCGCTTTGTAGATCCTTTGGCAGCTCCAGAATCAGAAACTCCTTTTGACATAATCAAAAGTTCAAGCTTACTTTTTAAAAATTGCTCTAACAGTCTGCAAAAAATATTAAGCCGGATCCAATTAGAAGATTAGGAACAACAAAATCTGCAACATTAACTGAAATAGATAATTAGATAATTTTAGCCTAGCTTATACCGTCCGTTATACATTAAATGCGCATGCGTAAACAATACGCATGCGCAGAAAGTTTGTAGCTTTGAGGTCCAGATTATAGATCATTCCGAATTATGGACGTCCGGATTAAAGACTGTCCGGATTGTACTTTCTTGTGAAAGTTTTGTGAAAATTGGAAAATGTATCTATTTGCAAATAAAAAGTGGCCACTCTGAAAAGTATGGTGGTTAACAGCAGATGACTGAATGTCGTGCCGTAAAGTTTGGGTTTTGAATCTTGTAAAAAGCACTGGTATTTTGTGATTGCAGAGGCTTTGTAGGCTGGAAAGCATTTAAATCTTTCAGTGCAAGTGTTATTTGTATAGGTCGATGTTAGGGAAAGAAAAGCACAAGAATCTCAAATTTATTGATCAAAATTGATGTGAAACTTGAGCAAATAATCTTATGTGCTTGCCTTAATTTTATAATTTAGTTTGCATTTATGTGAAAGGTAGTTAGTTGATTGTATTTTAAATTTTATTATAAAATTTTTTATTAAACATTTTTGTCTGAATATCATTCCAGTTGCTAAAACTTCATCAGAAAACTGAAAATGTAAATGTAGTAGAAAAATTTAATTATTGTTGAAAATATATTTCAGGTTGCTAGACAAATTTTTCCTGTAAGGTGCATTCAAACAATCGAAAAAATTATAAATAACAGACGTAATAGCCAATTATTAGCCATGCTTGTCCTTGTCATCACTTTTACAAGTACATTTATTCCAATGGTAAGTAGGTACATGAGCTTTTTCTTTTTTAATTTAGAAGTTTTTTATTTTTACTTATATAAAAAAAAATTTCATGCCTATTGGGCTTTTAAAATGCTGTTACATATAGCATTTTTTAGAAATACTGCCAGTTAATTAATTATATAGTTTCAAATTTAAATTCTCTTCTGTTATCATAAAGTTCAATTTTATAGTTATCAATTACATGTCAGTCAAGACATTCTATTTCTTTTTTATTTGTGCTAGTTTTGTTTAATACTAAACAAATTGGGTGAATGTTGTAATTTATTCAAAATTTTTAATTGCAATTATGGCATCAATATATCTGAATGTATTTGAAAAATAACTTCTGGAACTGATATTCTTTAGAGATACTAATTTAGGTAGATAGTTGGATCCCATTGGAAAGCCATTAATTTGCTGAAAAAAGGAGTCTTTAAACTGAATATGTTATGAAATGGTACACAAATAAAGAAATCCTTCTATTATCTTCAGCTAAAACTGTAAATACATCTGAAAATAATTATGGTAGTTGCAATAGACCGTCATAAATTTCTTCCAAAGGGAGAGAGGTATACAACTTTCCAAAAGTATAGCTTTTAGTTTCTCTAATTTCAAGATTTTGAAGTGTGGTAATTACTGGAAGGTTGCTATTAATAATCCAACTCTAGTTATGATCCTGATTAGCTGATGCTAAGATAATAAAAGCAAATTTTCTTAAGCTTGAGAGCAAAAATGTAATCAATTCCATTCTTAAAATTTCTGATACTGTTTGAAGTAAATATGTTTGAAGTAATATATAGATTTAAAATTATAGAGTTTATTGACTGTAGAGATGATGTTAGTTGTAGTCTTTCTGTAACTAACTGGTTGATTCAGCTTTGTCTGTGTTAGTGAACTATAGAATTGTTTTATCTGCATCACACCTGCATTTTGCAACCCAACTGTTATTAGTGAACTAACTATTAATCAAACGTCCTTGAGATGACCATTCACAGTTTCAATTTTCTTTGAAAATAGTCTATGCGGACCATATCAGTGATGTTTAAAGAGATTATTTATATTCTTATAAATATATACTTTGAGAGGTAATCACTATGAAAGTTTCCACTTTCATAGTTATTCTCTCTGAAAGGTTTGTATTTCATAATGAAAGGATTTTAACAGCTACTGAATAGTTTTTTTAATCATGCCCATTATACTTTATTAGCTAAGAATTCATATTTTACTGAGTTTTCCTGAAAGCCTATGAAATTGTGTTTGTATTATGATATTTTAAATTTATATTATTTTTTGGTGTAGGCAGCACTTGACACATCAGAATCTACACAGTGTTGGGCCAGCCATCAAAACATTACAAAGAATTTCACTATTCATCCAGACTTCTGCTCTGATGTCATATTAGATGGATTTCCATATGTGAGCAATATAGTTTTTAATATTTTTGTGAGATCTTAAGTGTCTCTGGCAATTTGTCCATATTACATGCTTTTCACAATTTGTTATTATATGTACATATAGCATATTAAATAGAGGATTTATAAACTTTGGTATGAGCCTTACTTAATACTGTTATGTGAGATTTATTGTACAATTACTTCCTTTCATTCATAATAGTGGAGTTATTTATGAAGTTAATCCTGCCGCAGTGTGTGAATTGTAGACTAGCACGATGTAATATCACTTATCCCATGCTTTATTTCTGAAGCATATCGCTTGAATAAAGTAATTGTTGCTTTCAACCAGTAAAATTCTTTTGTAACTCTGACAATGTTTTATCTTAAAAAAGGCGTATCCACGAAATCATAATTCTTTATTGATGTACTAAATATCTTATTTTAAGTATTGTAATAATTATTGATATTGATATAGATTTAAAATTATAAATGTTTGTAAATAATTCCAAAAGTTATCACTACATTATACAGCGTCTTTGAATAGACAATAAATAAAAAAGTTAGTAATTTTGTTATTTTGCATTTGAAAATGATTGTGTGTGTGTTTAAAATTATATTAGTTTACATAGAATGTGTTATGACTGTTATATAGGTTGTGTTGTATCTGTTATGATCTAATAACAGATTAATAACATCTATGATGTAAAATATACTCTACACAGTATATTTTTATTTCAGATGTAAAAAAAAAGTATACTTGCATATCTGCTTTCCTTATTTTACAAAAATATGTTATGAACTTTTAAACAATAAATGCTTTCTGTTCCATTTTATAAAATTACTATTATGAAAAAAATCTTCAAATGTTTTGTTTAGCTCATTAATTGCCATTATTTTAATATATTTTCATGCATAAATTTCAGTTCATCTTATAAGCAAATCACTATATAAATTCTGTACATACTTATATCATCCTGAATCATTTTGAGGAAAACTTAATTTTTTGTATCAGTTTAAATGTCGGCTCTTTCTTTATGTTGGTTTAAATATCAGCTCACTACTTATTACAAGCGTACAAAAGTAATATATTTATTTATTAAAATTAAATTAGATTTTCAATTTTAACCTTCCGATGGGGTGCGTTGTCATTTATTTCAGGAGCGAGCGCGTGTCGTAATTTTTATGACAGAATGTTTTGGTCTATTTTTACAGATTTAAACTGTTACAAATGCAAATTGTTTTATAAGAATTAAGAGACAAATTATATTTATATATATACACACATCTCTAGAAATTATTCATCTTTGATTATTTAAAAAATATATATATACTCTAACTACAGTAAAAGAAATTGACAACTATTTATTAACGAGAAAGGAAATTACTACTTTGCACATCAAAAATCTGTTGAAGGTAGACAAGGCAAAGTATAGAAAATTTAAAAAAAAAAAAAAAAAAAAAAAACTAATCTGAATACTTTATTGCTTTTGAGTCTGTAATTAGCATCTTCATCTTCCAACTATTCCCGTATTTTTGCAAGCAAATGTCGCTTGCAGGTATATATGCTGCACGTAAAGCATTTTATGGATGCTGATGATCATTTCCTTTCTTTTACACACAAACCACAAGTTCCTCATTTCAGTACTTGCTGCTCAGTTGTTTCCTCAGAAGGTAATGTATAATTCATATTTAGAAATATTGAAATATCACATGGCAACAAAGAGATTTTGGCTTGAGCTGTAAGGTGTTCTTTCATAAGACTTAGAGCTAAGATTTTCAAGAAAATTCTTTGGGTTTGTTGATTAACAGGTTTCTTTAGCACGTATAAAATTTGTGCAATTATTCCGGCAATGTTCATGAGACTGTAAAAGATTGCACATGGCCATCTCCTTGTTATCCGTGATACTGAGTAAGTAAAGGGATCAATAGTGCACATCTTGTCAACACTATTGATCCCTCCTTTCTAGAGTTGTAACCCAAGATAATTTCAGGTTTACCGGTGTCATCATTTGGTGTGTCATGCGGTGTTGAAAGCAGTATAAAAGCTTTGATTTTGCGAGGAACATACAAAACAAGAGTTTTCTTTTTGAAAGCCAAATATACTAGATCTAACTATCCTGTTTTTACATAGCAAACTAGTTACATTTCTGCAGGAATTTTCGATTGGAATAACTAGTCTTTTTACAACATTTAGTGGAAAATTTGAAACTGCATATGATCCATTTGGTTGTGATCTACAGGAAATTTCAAGATTATATGTGTAAAATGTCTTTGTATCACACAGAGCATACATTTTTATTCTACATTTTGGAGGTTTACTGGGGATATATTGGATAAACTGTCAACGACCACGAAAAGGATGAAACATTTCAGTATGAGCAAATTCACTCATACTGTAGCAGTTCCTTAGAAAACTGTCAAAAATTTTTCGTATAGCTGCTAGTTTTTCTATTTTAGACCTGTTTTTTCTTATTGTTCTGTCATCAAATCAAAGACATCTTGTTAGAAATAAAAATCTTTTGTAACTCATGACTGCCTTTGCAATTTGCAGTCCTGTGCCATCGTTTGTAAGTAACTCCTTGACATTGGCATGATATACTTTTTTTACTCCTATCAAATACAATAATAAAAAATATGCCATCATTTCATATCTTGTAGTATCCTGGCAGTCTCTTTCTCTTGAGTAATCATGTTCCCTTCTCGGATTACTTACATATTGGTTTGTATATTTCAAAATTTCATCAATCATATCAACATCTATTATATTCGTAAAAGATCCTGTTTCATCATCTATATCTTTTGCAAAACTTTTCATGCCAGGAAGAACTTTGTGTAATGTTAAACTTTTTAGTTTTGGGGGATTTGACATATTGCATTCTATGCCATCTAGTAATTTTGCATTTGCCAATATAAAAGTCTTCATCTTCGGGTGATTCTTCTTCATCGTCTTCAGACATAAATTGCTCAGATTCACTGCTGATATAATTTACTTCAATATTTTCCTAAGATCACTGTCACTGTTAAAAAACTTTCCCGCATCAGTCATTTTATTTTCTTCATCAGACAATTCTTGAAGGATACGTGAGATATCTTCCCATTTTACAGTTTTGAGGCCATATTGCCAAAAATATATGAAATATTTAGTTTTAAACTTTGTGCAATTATTTAATATCTCAGTATAATATACATAAAAACATTGTTATAAAATCAAAACTCTAAAAGAAGTAAAAAGGATAATTATTAACTATACTAGCAAGAGCAAGTGTGCTTCACAGATTTTACAAACGAAGTACAATACTGCATAAAACTTACTTGAAAACTGAAACTTGACCTTGGAAACAAGATTAACTCATTTCATCTCAAAAGGATGGAACGCATAGAAGAATAGCAATGATCTGCAGACATTTTCTACACTGTCCTGTGTTTTATGATATAGCAGGTTTGTCATTAAACTTGTGCATTTGTGCTTGATGGAAGGTTAATTTAAACTAACCTATTATAAAAGTTTTGAAATGTCTTAGTATGAACTAAGGTAACTATTAATGTAGATTAGTATGCTAGTCAGAGACTTCTAGATTATTTGCATTTTGTATTACTTGCATATTAATCTGCCATAATTTAGGAAAGAACTTATGAAACTTCAATTGTTTTATATAACTTGCTATGATTTCCATTTTTAAAATGTGTGTGCAGGTATTTGTTTAAACTGTTGCTAATATTAGAGATCTAACTTTTTAAGATGAATCACAAAAGTATATTTATCCTCAAATTTGTACTAACTTCAGTTATTTATTTAAAATGCAAAATATGCACAAAAAGTTAATAGACCAAGATACTAAATGAAAACTTTAATTAAGATTTTCTGAAATAAAGTTTAATAATATTGGTATCATAATTAATAATATAAAAATTATTTCACTCTGTTTTACTTAACTGTTTGAGTTCCAAGCAGCGTGATTGGGCTGTTGAGATTTTATGTCAAGAAAACTGTACATTTTGAATGTTGTGAACATCTGATGGTACACTTGATGTTAATAATTAAATCAAGTGCACATCAATATAAAATAAACAAAGCACAACCGCGCCGCTTGGTATTTCTTAACATAAAATAAAACAAATGCTGTTGCGCTGCTTGGATCTTTTCATACTCATTTAGAGAAAGCACGGTTGTGCTGTTTTGGATTCTTCAACAGTGTTTTTTCAGTACCCCCTGGGACTCAAGCAGTTAATTTAATTCTATTTTAGTTTCATTTATCTGTAATTTTAACATAAACCATAAACTCTAATCCAACCACTAAAAAAAAGGGGGAAAGGGGGGACACTTAAAAAATGTGTTGTTCCTTATGATTTATATCAATTCTGCTGTCAAAAATGCTATGCTGTATGTTTGATTGTTTGATGACAAAAAATCCCATTAGCTTGCATGTGTTATTGATCTTGGCCAGTAAACTAATGATAAATATTTTAATATTATGGAAATCAAATTATATGTAACTAACTATGTTGCTTTTGTTAAGACCACCTCTATCAAATTTATGTATCTATCTATATATATTTATGATATTATTTCAGAACATAACATTCTGCATGATGCTTGTGATGTTATCTTGTGCAGCTTTCCTTGTTTTGACTACTATACAAAAACTTCTCATCTTGTTGTTAGCATCATTTGTATTCTGTTCCCTTATTCTCCTGACTCATGTAGATTTATTCGATCTCTTTGACATAGTACACAGGTAAATACATTTTACTGAAAATATTTTATTCTTTAACTTAAATGCATTTTGAAGCTGGATGGATTTTTTTCATTTTAGTTTAAAGGTTAATTAAAAATAGGGATGGGACATTCAATCAAACCAAACCTTAAAAAAAAAAAAAAAAAAAAAAAAAAAAAAAAAAAAAAAAACTTGAAATTTTTTTTTCCCATTCAAATCTTCTAATTCTTAATCTAAGATACCGCTAAGCATTTTAAATCAAAACTTTAGAATGGCAAATTTGATTAGCATCCAGTAGGGAGGCGACAATGTTAATGCACTTCCAGTGTCACCTCATACAGTGGAATCTTTATTTTGTGAGAATTACTTTTTCATATGTAATATTTATCTGTATAACCCTTGGAATAATCTTCTTCCCTTTACACTAGTTTTTATTTTAAAAAAATTCTTAAAGTGCTTTTTATGGTTGATCTGTTACTTGAATATCTTTTTTCAAATTACATTGAGAAAGTGGACCTTTACAACCGGTAAATTATGTATTTCATCTGCTAAATTTCATTTGTGTCTTTATCATAAATACAGGTGTGCTTTTAAGAATTGTGTTCTTAAATTTGAAATTTTACTTTTAATTAAAAAAATTTGATGCGAAGTAATTTTTTCTTCTATTTCTTATATGAAAATTTAAAATGTTTGAAAGATTAAATAACATTTTAGGGCTCTGATTTGAGAAAATTTAGGATTTGTCCCATCTCTAAATTAAATTTAGTTCAAATATACATATTAAAATTCATTCAGTGTTTTTATTTTTATTTTAGGGTAAAATCAGTGTTTCCAGTTAAGTTCTAAGTATTGTTGTAAATGTTATAGGCATACTAATTTGGATAAGGTAGGTTACTTGAATATGGCAAAGCACATGTGGGTTCTTTGCATGAACGATGTCTTCGGTGAAGTTTTTCTAAGGAAAACTGTCGAGTATTAATATTACAATAGGGAAAACCACAAAAGCAACTGTGTAGCCAGCCTAATCACCTGATCTTGACGCAGGTCAAACTACTAGTATTCAATGGTTTTAACCATCCAGCCATTGGTGGTTGCATATACTAATTTGGAACAGGGTCTTGCAAAGTTTAAATCATAAATTTTACTGAAAAGGGAAAATATTACCTAAATATGGAGGAATCCATATTTTCCTCCTATCTGTATTTTTCTTTCCGTATAGTTTCCTCCTAACTCAAATTAATAGATTAAAAATTTGTCATCGAGATTAATCACTTTTGGATTACAGAGATAATTTTCCCATGTTTTTCCCAAACTATCACATGACTATTCAGCTTTCTAAGAAATGGACATGAGTCATAATTTGCTTTCTGGCTTGGCATTGCATGCATGCATAAAATGAAGACATTATCGATCCTGCTTCATAGAAATCTGTATGTAAATAGTAATTTTTGTGCTATGCTGTTTGTATAAATTATAGATTTTTTGCTGTAGTCTGCTACAATTTATCAAAATTTTCAAAATGAAATTTGACTTTCTTGGATGTCAGTTTATCAAAATGAAGAAGTGGACTATTTGAATAGGATCAGGGCCATTCCTAGTGAGGGTGCAGTAATACGCAAAAGTACATGAGCGGCTAAAATTGGGCGACCGGACTCTCATGATACCAAGCTTAAATATTTTAAATTCATTAAATTTATTGTAAGTACTTGTCATATATAAGTACTTTATATACAATTTGTCATATGTAAGTACTTAGTGAGTATAAAATAAAAGTTTTATTAAGTTTTTTTTTTTTTTTTTTTTTTTTTTTAGAGAGAGGCAATCCTAAAAAAGTATGTGGGCAGTCTATGGCCTAGGATTTAAGTTCATCTTTTGATCATTAATATTCATCTTTTGGAAGGAAATTTTCCTTTTTTATCTAATTTTTGGTTACACAAACTTTTTTAATTAAATTTTTAATAATACAGGATAAAATTCAAATTTTTTCATCTAGGCATTATCTTTTTTTTTTTTTTTTTTTTTTTTTTTTTTTTTTTTTTTTTTTTTGAAAATTGGTTGCTTAGCAAAATATTATTTGGCTCTTGGAAGAAATTCGTGTTTTGATCTGACAGTCTTTTTTTGTTTTTGTTTTTGCAGTAGGGGAAAAAAAGATCATCCATTATTACTTTCACAGCATTTCCATACTTTTAAAATTCTGATTTTCTAAGAGTTTTTGTTTTCTACCTGAATCTTGAAATATTTTATGTTCCAAACAGTGATAGGTAGGCCATATGTTGGACAAACTTGAATTAGAACATCTTTTGGATGTGGTTATTGACAGCTTTTATTCTGAATCAGTGCATTATGATAACTTTTTGTCCAAATATGTATGTTGCTGGAAATGTATTGAGAGAATATATCAATTGTAAAGGGATATTAATTTATGAAATTTGAAATATTATATTTTTTAAATATAACTTTGTTCATTTAATAAAATAACTTGATCTCTTTTACATGAATAACTGATGTCCACTGGTACTTATTTTTTGTTTTTGTATTTCATTAATTGACCTAAATTTTTAATGTCAACTTTCTAGTTAGTGATGTATTTTGATTTCCTCCTTTAGCCCTGATGGCAGTGGTGTTCCATCCAAATATTCATTGACTATTCTGTTACTACTTTTTGTGGGGGCTCTTGTGGCTCATGGCCATCAGGCAGAAGCAACATCTCGATTAGATTTTCTATGGAAGCTTCAAGCATTGGATGAAAAAGAAGACATGGAGCACCTTCAAGCTTATAATCGGAAATTGCTTGCCAACATACTGCCTGCTCATGTGGCTGAATATTTTTTGACAGGAGATAGGAAAAATGAGGTATTTTTCACTCTAAAATTTGTTTAATAGTGAAATTTAGAATAATTGATCTAACCAATACATTTAATTTTCCATTTTTTCCTCCTATATTGCTATAAATCACAATTCTGAGAGTATATTTTGTATTTTGCATAGTGCTTACATCCTTATTGTTAAATCACTCATTAACCTTTTTTCTTATTTTGTATATAAGAGTTCAAATGTTTAAAAAATTCTGTTTTAATTTTAGTACAGTTTTAATAAATAAACTGAAAATAAAAATTCAAAATCTTGAATTCAGTTATTTGTAAGTAATTAGTCAATGACACTCTGCTTTCTAAATTAGAACATAACTTCGTTATTTAGTGATTTTGAGAATATTAACCACATTTACTTTAAAATAAGTTTCCCCATTGCATTTTAGAATAAATTTTAAGAAATAAAAATGTAGGTGAATATTTAATGGGAGAATGGTCCTGACAAGAATGAAAAGCTTGGTACAGTAAAATCTATACCAGACATTGGCTCAGCTGACAGCCCAATACAATGCAGGTCCAAGTGTAAGTGTTTCAGAACACACAGTTCAACAAACCTGTTGGATATGAGACTACACAGCAGATGTCCCACTCGTGCCTCTGTTGACCAAGCATCATTGTCAACTATGCCTACAGAGGGCCCGGGGACATCAAGAGTAGACCATGGATAAGTGGAAGATAGTTACCTGGTTGGATGAATCATGATTTCTCATTCATCCTATCGATGGTCATGTCAGTGTATGCTGTCATCCAGGTGAGCAGTTGCTCCATTACTGTACAGTAAATTAATACAGGCTGGTGGTGGTGGTATTATGCTTTGGGGTACATTCTCATGGATATCTCTGGGACCTTTAGTTGTGGTACAGACTATGAAAGCTGTGGACTATCAGAGCATAATTTTGGATCATTTGCTATGTTACATGGAGTCTGTCTTCCCAACTGGAAATGAAATCTTTCAGCAGGACGACCCATATCCCAATGGAGCATAAGGATGAACTCCAGTTAATGTACAGTTGGCCACCTAACTCGCTGTGGTAATGCTATAGAGCACATTTGGGATAACATGGAGTGGCAGCTCAGAGCATAAACATCACCATGGCAGAATATCTCGACTTTGCGTGACCGTTGCTTAGATATTTGGTACAACCTGTGTCCAATCATCTACTAAAAAATTGTGCCATCCATGCCAAGTTACAGCTGTTTTGCAGGCAAAAGGTTGTGCAAAAGATTTACCTGAGTAGGTGGGTCATAATATTATTGAAAGAAGCAAAGAAAGCTAAATAATATGCATTATAAGCTGCACTATAAAATGTAAAAGCATTTAGAAGTAAATAAAGGTATGCTGTTTTAGAATTCAATATTGTTGGATGACAAGTCTGTGCTAAAACTACAAAAAACAAAAGAGCTAATCTTGATTTTCATAACCTTGTTGTAAAGGAATGGAGGTTTAACACAGTTTGTTAAAGTATATTCATAACTTAAAAGTTACATTAAAAATTGATTTTTCATATAATTAATGCAATTTTTCTGATGTGCAAGAAATTTTGTTTAACATGCTATATCAAAACAACGTGTGTTTGGTATATATCACATGCAGTGCAGCATGTAATATTATCAGTGCAGCAATGTTAGATAGCATGGGCTTTAGACATGGTATAACCTGACCAAAAGAAGTTTGGAATTAAGATAAAAATAAATAGTTACTGTAAAACATTTCAGTGTTTGATTTCGTAGCCGTGAATTCATGTATCCGAGAATATCATCTGAAGAATATTCTGGCTTACTGCTGTAGTAACACTATTCAGACGAAACCGAAGTTTCGTGTCAGGCATCAGTCTGGAACTTTGGTCTAAAGCTCAAGCGTAGTGCTGTAATGCAGTGCATCCACAATTGCAGTTTGTTTGCCTTTCTTTCAGAAATATGGCCTGATGATTACTGTCAGTGAAGAAATTTTACCTACAGCTGCATTGGTTTTGTGTAACTTAAAAACCAGAAATTGTGCTTATTGACAAATTCTGAGATGTAACTATTCACTGCACATTTACATTTTTAAGGTATTTAGTATCTTTTCATTTTTTTTAAACTTCCTGTAAAAACTGAAAACACTACTTTATTTTTCTTAAATTCAAATGTAATTGGAATCTTATAAGGACAAATGTGTTGGACTTCTCTGCACCACATCACTCAGCTGTGTGCAATTTTCAAGTGTGTGAACATAGCATTATGAACCAGCAGACCTAAGCATTATACTTCCATGTTTATATTTTAAGATGGCACTGCAAGAAGGAATCCTGCCATGTCTAAGAGCAGTGAACAAATGTATTTGTACAATTAACTATGCCTGAAAATACATTGCATTATTAACACTTGGTATGTTGCAGATTACTTTTGTATGGCAACTAACTATTAACTCTGACAATATCATTTATGCTATTTATATTTTGTTTGTGTCATTTGTGTGCAGTGTGCTTATATTAGCCGCATTAAGTTGTCAGATCCTCATGCTGCACCCTATAAATTCCTTGTTTAGCAGCATTTTCGTTTTTCCTTTCTGTTTTAAATTATGTGGTTGGTACCTAATTTAATGTTAGTCCTTTACATTAATATGGATTTAGTATGAAAACTAAATTTTAAAGTTTTAAAGATTTTTTTTGAGAGAGGGGGGTGTTATTTCCACTGGAATTTTTTTTGTCACTAAATTTCCAGTAATCATCTACTTATTACAATCATATTGCTTAACCTTCACTACAGTACTTTTTCTTTTTAAGCATGCAATTAATTGTGTGATATTCACTTTAATGTGCTTCACAATAGTTTGTTCTTCATTAGTGTCTGGCATTTATTGTTCCTAGAGACTCTCAGAGATCTCTGAGATTTACTGCTCCCAGAAATCAAGCTATATTAAAGCTGTGTTTTACAGACAACAGTTTGACAAAATAAAAATCAACCAGACTACTGCCAAAATTACCTTTGTGGCAATAGAAGTAGCTGATTGCTAGACCATTGCCAAAATTACAATCTTGATTATATGCATTTCAAAACGTAAGTTACTTAATACATAACTTAAGTTGTGGACATTTTAAAATTTAAGGTCTGTAGTCTTTCTAAAAGCAATACCTAATTTAGAAACTTCTTTCTTTTGGTGTAGTCGCTTTTGCATCATATACACGCAAATAAAAATAAATATATATGTAAAAATAAAAAAGACGTAGAAATGACTTGATATTTTTTTTTTCTATATTATATTGCTAATGAGTTTTTAAGTAGTTGGATCACAAATAAATTAAATTTAACCTTGCTACAATTATAAGAGTCTTAATTTACGAATGACCTTATTTTATGTACAAAAGCATTTCACTTTTTAAAATTGTATTTTTCCATAGATCTTATGAATAGTATAGTAAAGACAAGACACATTTTAAACAAAAATAACACAGTTGAAAGGGGAGTATATATATATATTTTCAAAAATGGCACTTAGTGTGAAAAATATCGAAATTATTAACGTTAACAAAATAGTTAATAGTTTTCATTGAGGGCTTTAAATATAACATGTTTATTTCTGTCATGTGCTTCAAAATCAGCACGTTATACAAAATTATAAATGATTGCTTGGAAAAGATTTAACTCATTTAATTCAATAGCAATTGAGTAGTTTTTTAAATTGAACTAGTATTGGCATAATTTTTTTTTTCACTCTTGCATTTAATATTCATTCTCTACCATATAGTAAATTCCAAATATAATAATATAGTTTCAAGGCAATGTATATTACAATGTGGATTATATCATAATATGCAAGATAGCTGTTTTTAAACAAACAAATATGATATCTTGTGTAAAATATAATGATAAATATATAATTTTTACATTAATTAAGTATGATATCCTGCATTATATTGAAATTTTATGCATCATATTTCAGAGTATTTAAAATTTATTTTTCAGGATTTGTACCATGAACAGTGTGAAAGTGTCTGCATAATGTTTGCATCCATTCCTAATTTTAGTGAATTTTATATGGAACTAGAAGCTAATAATGAAGGAGTAGAATGCTTAAGATTGCTAAATGAGATAATAGCTGATTTCGATGAAGTGAGTTATACATCACCTTTCCATTCTCAAATATTCATGTTTTACTTCAGAACAAAGAATTTTATTTATCCATATGCCAAGTATTTTTATATGAAGTATTATCACATTGCACATGTAATTACATATTTTATTTATCCATATGCCAATGCAGGATTTCAATATCTTTAAGGTTAACAAAAACAATTACTTTGAAGCACTGTAAATTAGTGCATGTTCCTTCTCAAATACCAGCGGATAGGAGATGTAAATGCAACTTCAGCATTCAATCTCTTAAGTTTTACACCTTTCAAGATCTTTCCTTTGGTACAGACACATTTTGTTCATGAAGAGTTCTCAAAAATGTTCAAAAAATGCCTCTCAGCATTACAATCTTTGAATGAAAAGAAAGTGATAACTGTAGGTTGAGTAAAAAGCAAAAAAAAAAAAAAAAAAAAAGCATTAATTGTGCTTGTAGTCATAAAATGGCAGATCAGAATAAACAAAAGGCAATCTTTCTGCTCGCTAGAAATGTAAGTTTTGAAATTTTTAATAAATCACTGGAAGGAGCATTTTTTGAATTTATTGTATGCTTAACTTGAACTCTTTTTTCTATGATGAAGCTTTCAACTATCATCACAGAAAAAAGATAAGATATTCAGAAAATTAGAAACATAATTGAGTCTTGTGAAAACGCAAGGATTTTCAAGGAGTCAATATTACTGCTAGAGGCTATGTATTTTATATTATATATGCAGAAAGTTAATATCTTAAAATGAGTCGAAAACAGTTTTTGAAATGTGGCTTTTATGTAACAGAAGCCTCAGAGGAGCTGCAAGCTATAACTATGTTTAAGACATTGGTAAAGGAATTTATGAAAGTTTATTTTAATATATGTGTCAGTTTGTAGAAATGTTGAGATAACATGTGAAAACTTACTATGGAAATGTTAAAAGAACTGCAAAAACTGGCAACAAATGTGTTACAGGAAAAAAGGGATGATCTGCCAGCATCAGTTGAATCGAGAAGAACACTGCAAATTCTAAAAAAAATGTCTTAAACTCAAATTTACTGTTCATAAAAAGCTACCAACAATTTTTCAAAATTGAGAATAGAATTGAAAAATTGTTATTGAATGATATGAAACAAATATAGATAGAATATTTGTTTGTAAGAGAGAAAATTTCATCAAGAATGTAATTCTAAAAGTATTTTTATAAAAAATTTAAAAAATGAATTTCAAAATTGCATAAGTAATTTAATTTTAGCATTCATTTTTAATTATTGTTTTAGGATTAATTATTCAATTAGTTGTTAGTTATTATTTTACTTAAAATGTTTAATACTGATATCATGATTTGCAATACCAAAATCACCATATGTTAAACTCAGCCTATAAATTAAATATGTTTGGACTGGAAGCGGTTTTAATAAATGGCAGGTGCTGTATATGCATTTTTGCAATTATTCATTAAAATTTTCTTTATAGATATGTTTTTTGGGGTAAGTTATAGAGTTGTAATGCAAAAACTTCGAAAGATTTTTAAAAAAGGGTTAAAAAAATTCAGCTGCTTGATTTTTAATATATGTTTTTTTTTTTTTTTTTTTTTTATTCTCTCCAAGTGTCTGTGTTGTATTAAGTAATAAATATATTGTTTTTGAAAAGTAAATAATTAATGCTTAATATGGGGTATGCATTTAAAATTCTGTGTACTTTGTAGTTGAAACGATTCTCTTTGATTTTGTAATGTGTAGTAGGATTGTGGCAGATAAAATTGCATAATCTATTCATCAAAATTATGCAACTTTGTGATTTAAATATTTTCAGATACTGGAAGAAGAACAATTTAGTTGCATTGAAAAAATCAAAACTACTGGCTATACATATATGGCAGCATCTGGGCTGACTGCAGCAACTGTCGATATGACCAACCACACTCATGTTACGAGGATGGCAGATTTTGCTCTCCGATTAAAAGATCAACTAGAATATGTTAACATACATTCATTTAATAACTTCAAAATAAGAGTTGGTAAGAATCTATTTTTATAATTTGGGGAACGTATACTAAGGATTAGATTTTTGTATTTAAGGATAATTGTACAGTCAAAAGTCGTTAATCCGGACTCCTCGGGACTTCGGCCATTCCGGATTATAGATCATCAGTTTAAATCTGGCAAGATGGCATGCAGAAATTATGCGGGACTTCGCCATTCTGGATTATAGATCATCAGTTTAAATCTGGCAAGATGGCATGCAGAAATTATAAAATTAAAAATATGAAAATAAATAAAAAATTATGAAATAAAGAACAGTTATGATCTAAAGGGTATCAAAATTTACAAAAAAAAAAAGCTTAATATTTATTTGTTTACTTTATTAAACATTTCTTTCAATGCAAGTTGTTTAAGTTGCTTCGTTTTATGTGATAATACTTTCTCTTTAATTCTATAAACAGACATAATTTCTTGTTCAGTTACAAAGTTCCGCTGTTCAAGTCCTATAATTGCTGTGCCGAGAATACCGACTAATTTGTCAATGGAAATTTTTTCATTTTCAGTAACCTCTGTGTCACTTTCTTGATTATCAGAAGCGAATTATAATGACGAGGAATTTGATTTAAATCATATCAAAGATGGAGTACATCGAGATGAAATACTACATTTAGTAAGAAATTATAAGCCAAATAAAAAAAAAACATTTGCTCTGAAGATAAGGATAGTGCTGACAGATCAACTTCCAATTCATTGCGCGCCGCAGTGTTTCCCTCCCCCCGCCACAGAGCAGCGGGAAATTGATAAACAGATTTCGGAATGGTTAGAGAAACAAAGGATATGCCTTTATCTATTTTTTGCAGCAATTCCACTTTTTGTTTGATGGACATCGAAACATACTTTCGCTTTGTAGATCCTTTGGGAGCTCCAGCATCTGAAATTCTATATGATATAATCGAAAGTTCAAGCTTACTTTTATAAAATTGCTCTAACAGTCTGCAAAAAATAATAAGCTGGTTCCAGTTTGAAGATTAAGAAACAATGCAATCTGCACATTAACTGAAATGATATTTTAGCTTATACCGTCCGTTATACATTAAACGCACATGCGTAAACATATTATATGCATGGCCACACGCATATGCGCAGCCGTAAAGGTCTTGCGCGCATGCGTAAAAGCCTATGCGCAGAAAGTTTGTTGCTTTGAGGTCCAGATTATGGGTGTCCGAATTAACGACTTTTGACTGTATTATACTTTTTTTGGTTATGTAATTTATGGTTTCTGTAAAAATTTTCTCTCTTTTTTTTTTTAGATACTTCAAGATCCCAAATATTTTATTTAGTTTCATCTGCATAGTGAATAAGAGAATAGATAATGATCAATGTTGTTAAACCTTCATTTTTATTTTCAGTTATAAATTATACATTTTTATTCATGACTTTTCGTATTGTAACTTATTTGTTTATACAGAATGTGAAAATGCTTATTTAACTGTAGATATAGGTGTTGTATGTAGAGCAGTACCTGCACCTTTTTTGTTTCTTCTTTGAGGTTTATCATCGATTGGCAATTTATTTAAAATTGCATATTTTGAATGTGAATGCCTATTTTGGTTAATATTATGAACAGTTTAGCATTGTCCAAAAATGAATTTTGTTTTCTCAATGACATTTTATTTTGAGTGAATTATTCATATGCTACTACATATAATTAGTTTTTAGAAATAGTCGATAAACTGCCAAACAGATATGGATTTTACTATTCAAATGCTAGTTTCATGGAATATATATGAAGTTATAAATTTTAATATTCATCATTTGGAAAGGATTTTTTCCGTTGTAAAGTATTATATTATCAAAAGATGTAGTAAAGTATTTGAATTTATTGCATGCTGAAAAGCACTGTTAATAGCATTAACTTGCTGAATTTTACTACCTTCACGAGGAAGAGATGTTTCCTTCCAGGAATATGTGTAATGAAAGTGGTAAAAATCAACCACGTTTTATGTTGCTGAGTATAGTTTTCAAACATGAAGGTGTTGCTGAATTGGTCTCATAATTCATGAATTGTTGTAAATATGTGAAGTTTAGTTGCAAGTTTTTGTGAAAACATCATGATTGATTTTGTAAAAAATTATTTAAAAAACATACAAGAAATGTGTCTTTATGAAGAAAGAATGTAAAAAAGGTTAGCTTCGATGAGCAGATAGCTAATGTAAATTAGTGGAATTAGCTAACAGAAATATCAGGCCCACTCTTTAAAAATTGATGAAAAAGCACTTATTAGTGTTTTGTGCAAGGCAGTTTTTAGAGCATTGAGGTGGTATTTTTCCTAATTTTGAAAGTGTAATTCAGCTAAAAAAAAAATTGGAAAACATTTAGAAATTCTGTTTTTATATCTGGAAAGGAAGATTTGTATGAATGGTGAAATCATAATTTTTGACCATTATATGTAACATCTTCCTGCAACAGAAAAGGTAGGCGTTATTTCTGAGGCATCCAGAAAATTCCAAAAAGTATATTTGCAACAAAAAGGAAAGTCTCACGTGAAATGCCTTATCAAAAAGTTGCTAAGATATTGCTAACAAAAGTTGACAAAATAGCAGCAGCTACACTTGTATAGACTAAGAAAAAATTATCAAATATATATATCAATATATAATATCTAAAATATATATATATCTATATTATATAAAAATTATCAAATATACATATCTTTTATATGCAAATGGCTAACATGAATGAATTTCCAGTGTTCTTGATAGAAAAATATTAGCTGTGGTTATATTCATGATTAAAAACATGAGTTTAAGTGTTATGTTTCGCTGAATGTAAAATTAAGGGACATTTAAAAACCAATAAAGAAGAAAGTAAGATTCTCATGTATTTTAAGAATTAGTTCTAAACTCTTGGCGTGGATAACATGTCATAATGTTAACTTTAAATTTAAAAAAAAAAAAAATCTTTTAAAATTTAGGTTTGAATGTAGGACCTGTGGTAGCAGGTGTCATTGGTGCCAAGAAACCACAGTATGACATATGGGGCAATGCTGTAAATGTTGCAAGCAGGATGGACAGTACTGGAGAATTAGATAAAATTCAGGTAAACTTGTGTTTATATTTGCTTGTATTAAATGATAATAAGCAATTTTAACTTTATACGTATCTATAATAGTAATTTGGCTTCATAATAGATATTTTATGAGGATCATAATAGACACCATATGATAAAAATGAGATCTGTTTATCTTATTTTATCTTTATTTTAATTTGAATAATATAAATGTGAACACAGCTTGATTTTTATCTATTAAAATTCTCAAGGGAGGAAATCCTCCTTCTGTCCTTCATTGTCTCCATTTGCTTTGAGCAGAGAAATTCCCTTATACTAGTTATACAATTATTGCAAACTGTTAATAAAAGATCATGTTAGGTTTTTCCTCATAGCAAACATAAATATAAAAGAATCTAGTTTCATGAATACTGCTGAACAAAACTAACCTTATTTTTTCTTCCCTCTATTCTCCAAAGATAACTTCTTATCTATCAATCAATCTGTATAATTGGTATTATGTTGTATATATGTTTGGTAAACATACAATCTGTCATTTTCATGTCTGTAAGCTTCATGTGATTATCCATTCTACTAGACAGCAGCATTTAAAAAAAAAAAAAAAAAAAAATTGTTACTTTAGCATCATTGCCAAATGTACTTTTTTTTTTTTTTTTTTTTTTAAATTTATGCTGTTGTATATATCTTCTTACAATAACACGCCGAATAAATACTAATTAAGAAGTCGAACAACAAAAATCAGCGTTATATTTACAAAACATTCACACATTCAACTTCAGTACTACGGTTTACCGTAATCCTTCATCGGTTTGCCTTCCACCACACTTTAAATCATGTCATCCGACTAAACAAAAGTTAGCTTCATTTTATTGCTATGTTTTCCGTGCTCTTCATGTTTGCTCCTCCAAACTAGCCCTTGATGAAGAACTAAATTATTTAAAAGCAATAGCTATTGACAGGGGTTTTTCAACCAACATTATTAATCAAACAGTTAAAAAATTCTTATCTCAACACACTAAAAGGCACACTCTTGTTTTAGGAGATTATAAAAATTCTGCTGTCATTCCCTTCTTTCCATCAATTAGCTATAAAGTTGCACATATTTTGCAGAAATTTAACTTTCGGGTTGTGTATTCTCCCATCAATAAAATTCCGAGTTCCATACTCAAGGACCCCATTACGGATATGAATTCCTGTGGTATTTATAGGATTCCTTGCAGTGTGGTTTAATTTACATTGGCCAAACTAAGAGAGCCTTAAAATTTCGCATCAAGGAACATGAGGCATATGTTAGAAAAAAGGAAACGCAGAAGTCTTCTGTTGCTCAACATAGTTGGTCCGAAAATCACACTTTCAATTTTTCTGCTGCCAAAATTATTCAAAAAACATCTTCCATTGGAGAACTGGATTTTCTAGGGGCATTTCACATTCATAAAAATCTTTCTGTTCTAGTTAACGATCCTAATTCCAATTCAAATTTGGCTTTGGCCTTTAAAGAAATTATGTTTTAGTTCTGGTTTCATCAACAGATGGCGCCACTTGCTTATTCTTGTCCAGGCTTTCTTATCTTATCTAATCATTATTTCCTATGTTGTTCATTTGCGGTTTTGCAGCTGAGGATGGTGGTTTGGTAAAACCATCGAAACTAGTCCTGTGAAAATTTTGTAAATATAACGCTGATTTTTGTTGTTTGACTTCTTAATTAGTACATTTATTCTTGTAATGAGCTCAGTGTCACAGGATATGGGGCTACAGACTTTTGAGGTAATAGGAAGAAATCAGGGAGGGATACAGTACCTCAGATAGTAATGAAATGTGCTGTTTAGTTCGTTTTTTGATAAACAGCACCATTCTTAATCTAAATAAAAACTTGTAGGGTTGCTTTGGTAAAACTGGTTTATTGTGTCGTCATTTTTTTATGAAATTAAAAAGCTGTAACAGCATCAAGTCACTGTGGAAACCAAGAAACAATGGTAAACTTTTGTGAGATTTGATATGAATAAACATAAATATTATAAATAATTATAAATAAAATATTTTAAGTAATAAAATATGAATTTTATTGGAGTCAGAACAGGGGTATTAGCATATCCCTACATACCAGATGTTTCACTGTTTTCCTGCGAATGATCCATTCCAAGTATGCTGGCAACGATGAAAGTAAAGAAACTGAAACTAATGCAACAGCTCACTAGAGTAAGCTTCAGAGTTCCTTCTGTTTGGAAACCGGATCTGAAAATATTATTTCTTCAAATAGAAGCACAATTTTTAAAATGCAAAAATTACTATAGGCCAAACAAAGTATGATTATAAATGTAGAAGTCAAGCAATCAAAATCAGCATTATATTTGCAAATTTTCACAGGACTAGTTTTGATAGTTTTACTGAACCATCATCCTCAGCTTCCAAAGTGCAAATAAACGAGATAAGGTAAAGTGAAAAGATAAGAGTAGCTGGACAGGAGTTAACCTACTGGTGCCATCAATTGATGAAACAAAAAAACTAAAACATAATTAATAACTATAACATAAACATTTGTTATTTTGCTTTTAAATTAATATTTGTTCGGTGTGTTATTTTAACCTAAAGTATGATTATGTGAGGAATTCTATCGAACATGATATTTTGCTTAATTTGCCACAAGATGGCAAATATCAGACAATTAAAGACAGATTAAGTTCATTATATGCAGATTCAGAAACTCGAAAGACCCAAAAATTACTGATTGAACTAGAACTGGGTGATAAAAAACCACTTTACCTGCTGTGTGAGATATGTAATTTGGCAGGCTATAAAATAGCAGATATCTTCCTAAGCACATTGTGGCTTCTGCTGCTACCTGTTAATGTAAACATCATCATATCTGTTAGTGATGAAGATTTGTTGAATGTGGCAACTATGGCTGACAAGATTTGGGAATTAAATCCTATTACCCCTCAAACAGCCATTACCATAAACATGGAACTGATTGAAAACTTACAAAAACAGGTTAGTAAACTTAGCTTTATAGTTGTCTACTTTATCCAGATGACGTCGCAATCATCGCTATTATCATTACTGATCCAAACCGAGGAATAGGAGTTATCATGGTAACAGGTCCAGTGATATCTGTTACTGTCACAAAAATTCAGTGACAAGTCATTTAAAAGTAAACAAATCATGTAACTTTTCATCAGGATCACAGACAAACAGCTCGGGAATCTCTCATTGACGACAGAGGGACAAGGGGTGGGGTTGAGTCATCTTTTCGTCAGCAACAAAGAAACAGCTATCCAGTTTTTAATAGGTACTGGGGCATAACAATCCATTTTTCCTCCATTACCTGCTGATAAAACCTGTTCTCAAAAATTGAATTGCTTGCTGTAAATGGCACAAAAATCAAAATATGTGGCTGAAAACCACTCAAGTTTCATCCTGGACTCAGACAGTCATCAAGTTGTAATTGTGAAAGTGAGGAGACTGTTAATAGGTATGGATTTTCTTGCAAATTTTAACTTTCATAAATTCCAAAAATCGCAAGTTGTTTGATGGCATTGCATTGTTAGCAATTAATGGACCTTCTTGTTTTCAAAATAATAATAATATTCAAATTTTAAACACCGTACATGATCCATATAAAAATATTATTAACAATTTTCCAGATAAAATGAACATAGTTAATAATAAAATTAAAAAATCAAAACATCAAACATTACATCAGAACCAGATGTCCACCCATTTTCTCTAAACCTAGGAAGCTATCAGCCAAAAAAATCAAAGCAGCTAAAAAAGAGTTTGAATTTATGCTCCAAATGGATTTGTACAGACCATTCAAAAGTCAGCATATCTCGCTATGAAGAAATCAGGTGACTGGAGCTCTTGCATGGACTCTGGAGCATTAAACGGTATCATGATTCCTGATCATTTTGAATAAATTGTAGTTACGTTTTAGTGGGAACAACAGTTTTCTCATCCATAGACTTTATTAGAGTGTACCAATCAATTCTGGTTCGCAAAGGAAATATATTGAAAACGGCAATTCTCGCACTCTTCAGTTTATTTGAGTTACCATTCTGGACTAAAATTTATACTTTGTTATTTGGATGACATTCTAATAGCCTCTCCTGATGAAGAAAGTCATCAGCAACATGTATGAGTAGTCCTTGAAAGCCTAAATGAATATGGTCTGTGCAAACTGTAAATTCTGTTAAACTAAACTTGCATTCCTAGGATACAAAGTGTCAGCTGAAGGACTTAGGACTTAAACCTCTCTCAATGAAACTTAATGCAATCAGTAATTTCCTGGAACCAAAATCATTCACTAGTTAAAGACAAGTTTTTTTAGCATGATGAATTTTTATCACATATTCGTACCAAATTGTGTGAAACTGCATCAACATCCAACAGCACTGTTTAGTAGTATCAAAAGAAAACTGCAAAGGAACTGCAGAAAGTGAATAACCTGGACAGAAGAAAGAAGAAATGCTTTTTGAGTCTTAAAAAATGCACTTACTCATGCCACCAATTTAACTCGTCCATCCGAAAATACTGAAATATCACTGATGACTCCAATACTTCTACTAGAGCTGTTTTACATCAGACTGTGAACAATGTGGGGGGGGGGAACCCTTTGAGTTTCCTTCTCCAAGTTTTGACACCAACACAACGAAAATATAGTGCCTGCAAGAGAGAATTTTCTAGCCATCTATACAGCAGTGAAACATTTCTAGTATGTCTTAAAAGGCTGATCTCTTACAATATTCATTGATCACCAACCAATAACATTTGCTTTCCAACAAGATTTGGAAAAAAACTCGCCATGGCAAGCTAGACCACTGTCATACACTGGCCAGTTCTCAGCTGATATTCAGTTCATTCAAGGAGATGAAAATACTATTGGTAACACACTTTCTTATTAGACACCATTTTCTGTTTCATCTTCTATAGACTTACAAACTGTAGCAGGCTCTTGAGAAGTTGAAGATTTGAAAATACTGAGAAGCAACCCAAACTTAAAAATCTTGCAAATCCCTATGCTGGAGAGCGACAAAGAAATTTATTGTGATACTTCTACAGATTATAATTGTCCATATATACCTGCAGAATTTGGCAGAAAATATTTTCTTCAATTCATAACTTTTCCCATCCTGGAATAAGATATACAATAAAACTGATAACGGAAGTTTTCATAGGGCCTAACATGAATGAAGTGTCACTTCGATCACATCAATTAATTTTATCATCATCAAATTGTTGATTAAGTTAAAAAGGAGTAGTAAATTAAATGACCATGGAAACCAAGAAGCTGTGGTTGACTTTGTGAGATTCAGTATGAATAAAATAAATAAGTAAATATAAATAAAATATTAATTTTATCAGAATCAGAAAAATGTTATTAGCATACTTCTACATACTAGATACTTCAAACTTGAAGACCATTTTGCCCCTTTCTAGAAAATCATGTAAGCATGGCAATGACTATAAAAGCTAATTGAGGCCTCTAATTTGCTAAAATCCCCTAATCCTCTCTGTGTGTTGATGGGGGCAAACTTGATCAGGAATCATTATGACCTTGAAGTACCTATTTTGCAGTAAGATTAGCACAGGTGGGTGATGTTTGTGGCTGCAAGTTCCTATATAAATATAGTTTCTTTTTGTACTTCTTAATTCTGAAATTTATCAGAATCATCTGGCAGTAAGCATAATTGTTTTAATATTGTATAAATATATTTGCGGTAAAATCTTGTTTTACTTTTTCTAAGGTTACTGAAGATGTCTACATGATATTAAAGGAACATGGTTATCCTCTTGAGTGTCGAGGCTATATCAAAGTGAAAGGCAAAGGTGAAATGTTAACTTATTTCCTCCAAGGTTACAGAAATAAAAATCTTCCAAAAACTTCAGTGGTTTAATATACTAGCTCTATCAGTCTTCCCTAGGCATGTGGAAACACAAATGTAAAACTAATCATACATATTTGTCCCTGTGAATTGCTCATTCAAAATGTGATTTTTATTTTTGAGAGAGGCATTCTAGTTAATGGCATTTTTACATTGTATTCATAATAATGTAAAAAATTTGTAAGTGAATTTTGTAATTTTTTTCAAAATATTACTTGATGTGTTGTAAACATTTTGTAATCTGTGTTTTGTTCTTACGTAGATGCAATATATGATTTTCCCCCATAACTCATAATTTATGCATACTGTGTAATTCAGATATTTTAAAACTATTTTTCTTATTTTATATTTGTATGTGTTTTAAATATTTCTACTGCATCACATTCAGTTGATAAAAAGTCTTTATCATTTGTTTATTTTTCTTAAAATTGACTGTTCCATGTTCAAGAAAAGTTACTTAGTTCTGAAGAATCATCTTGTATTTCAATCACATCAATGCTAATGCTGTTCATGAACATGTTTGCATTTCATCTCTCTCTCTTCTTCTCCCCCCCCTGATAATATGGCCGTCATTAGCAATATAACAGTAAAAATAGTACAACAAAAATTCAAGATCTGGTTTGCTGGAACTGTTTGCACATGCCTAGAATTTTAGAAAGAATTTTTTTTTCTATTACTTCCTCAGACAGATATTTTTTATATATATTGAAAAAAAACTGCCCTATCAAGATTTTCTCTTTAGATTTGTGCTATACTTAACATGGTTCAGATGTTTTTTAAAATCTGTAATCATTGAGTTTAGAATATAATGGATTCAAGACTGGTTTTCTATTATAATAAAGTTCCATTGTAATATTGTTTCTATTGTTCAAAAAGACATTTCAAAAAATTTAAATGTAACTTGTATTAATTGCTTAATATTACTAAATCAGCAAAGTAAATATTTTGCAGAAGTATAAAGTGTTCTTTTTCAATTAGTTATCAAGGACTCTTGAAAAAAAAATTATTTTTATAATATTAAGTTTCTAAATCTTCCTTAAATTGCGTGCAAAATTATTTTATTTAGGAATCTAAATTTCTATATTCTTAAAATCAGACATGAATAGCATGTTATGAAAATGCTTTTTTTAAACTTAAAATGAATAAATCAATAAATAAACCTTAAATTTTAAAATTTCTGATAAATAAAATGCCCTGGTTGATCAGTATCAGGAAGAAAGAAAGTTTTTACAGATACCGTGAGAACTATTCTTACATACTGTAGCTATAAAGTTAACCAGAACTTCCGTGCATGAGCTATGTTAGGTAGAGGCACTCATAAATATATGTATATGCACTTAATTTTTTATATCTTACTACAAAGTTTGGTTTTGTCTAAAAGGAAATCAGTTGTTTTGAATCATATGATGCTCATTTGGAGTAATTATGGATAATGCGTGTAATGATTCTTTGTACAAATTTTATTGAGCATTTTAATTTTTTGCTTCCTAAGTATTGTTATGTTAGCAAAAAATTAATTTCTTCTTTTGCATTACACTAGTCTAGTCTGAAATTACAGAAATTTATATAATTTAATTATTTTGATATTATAATATAGTAATATTTAATTTCCTTATCATTAAATGTATTTTTCAGTACTCCACAGAGGTTGAAAAATATTTAAAGGTTGTGTAATTAAAAAACAGATTATTAAAAGTTTTATCATTGTTCCATATATATTACTACAGATATATAGACTTTTTTACTGGCTTGAATGGCAAAGCACAATTTAAATGAGTTCAAAAGATGTTTAAAAAATTAATTAGTGAAAGAGCTTATACTTTAACCCTTTGACGCGCGGAGGTCGTGCCCTGAAACCAACCAATTTTCGAATTTTTTTCTCCTCTTTTTTCCGAAATTTTTGAGTGAAAATCAATTGGTTACTGATCTTTTACCTCTAAATAACACAAATGACTACAGAATCACACATATTTTAGGTCTTAGTACTTCAAATCGGATGCCTTTTCAAATTTGTTTTCAATGAGACAAAATAACTTTCTTTTATTAATATAAACAACTTTAAATTTCAAAAGTTATTCATCGCACATCATGATTTCTATTATAAACAATAAAAAATAGCAATAATTAAACTGCATATATATTAAAAAAAAAACCCCTCTATATGTATGGCATTTGCTTTGTGGTTTCAGGGTGCGACCACTGCCCCACTAGAGCATTGTGTCACAATGCTCTAGAGGCTCGGTGGTCGCGCCTTGAAACCACTGCTCTTCACAATGGCATTTGCTTGCTTCTCAAATAGGAATGTTTATTTTTACCCGGATATAGATAAGGGGTTTTGAAATCACAGAGTTATTTTATTACTAAACAATACATGCACCTGCCCAGTAAAAAGGTCTTTCTTTTCCAGAGACTTTTCTCTGACCTCAACACACTTGCTCCCCAAGCTAGTATTGTGATTTTATAAATTATTTCCTGTGGTTTAAATTTAATGTAAATATACTTTGCTGTAGTTAAAAATAGAAATCACGTAAAGTTTTATTTAAATAAAAAATATTTTCTGAATATTTTGAGACGAAATACGAATAAAATAAGTATGAATAGGAAACGAATGATCCGTATCAAAGCCAAAAAGACCAAGCCCCTCCCCCATTAACATAAAAAAAACCACAAATTTCAAGTACCAGATGGAAAAGAAACTAAGTAATGCTGGACATATACCTGTGAAATTTAGAAGATCCAATCAGTGTACATTTTGTAGCACAAGGAAAAAAACATCATAGAACAAGATAAACGTGCGAAACGTGTGCAGTGTGGGTCTATGCATGTACCAAAAAGACAAAACTTGCTTTGAACAGTGTCACAAGAAATATTTGTTCTTTGAAATTAAAAAAAAAAAAATCTCTAAGTCTTTTCCTTTTATCCTTATTTTATTCACTTTTGTAGTCACTTTTCCATGTAGCCAAACATCCTTATTATGTAGGTACTTTCACTGCTATTGAAAAATTACATAAATGTTTATTTTTTAATTTTTTCTGATGATTTAGTTTGTAAAATAATGTAAAAAATATATATATTGTGCAGTTCTTACGTGCATTTTTAAAAAAAATTCGTAAATTTCGTCATTTATTGGAAACGTTTTTGTACGAAGAAAGGTAAGTTTTTTTTTCCTACTACCTAGATACGTTTCAAAGTCCTAGACGCGCGGTGGTTTCACAGTGCGACCACCACCCACAAAACAATGGGCAAGACTAGATTTTTTTAAATTCATATATTGTCTCTAGGATCATAATATTCAATTTCTAGAGTTTTTAGTTAAAAAAATTATAAAAATAATATCGTGCACGTCAAAGGGTTAAAAGACAAATCTTCTCTGTGAGTAGCAAATTCTGTATATTATTGTTTTGTCAGACTATATAAGCAATTACCTTCAAAATTTAAAATAGCATTCTTTTTTTTTTTTTTTTTCTTTTTTTTTTTTTTTTTTTTTTTTTTTTTTTTTTTTTTTGTAGTTGTTTTGTTTTCAGTTTATAGGCATTTAAATAAAATTAATTTCTGTTAATTTCTTTTTCTTTGCATTTTAAAAATAAGATCATATATTTGAAATTTCAAATGTTTGTAAAACAAATGCCACAGATTAAGCGGTGAAAGTTATACTATTTCTATAATAAAGAACTGTTATCACAGTCTGTTCTGTAATACTTCTTCCAACAGTTTTTCTGTGTCTTTTGACTGTGAGAGGCACTAACTGTATATTAAATGTCAACTTTCCTTGATTGAGAATTACTGATAGCTGAATTTGCATTGCAAAATTTCGTTCTGAAAATGCCCTTGATGTCTCAATTCTCCAAGTGGTCAAGGCCCCAAACCGAACACCATAAGCAAATGGTATTTTTTTAATTATGATTACTAAATTACCTTTCTACTTAGTACCTTTTCTGTTTTCTTCCAATATTTATATTAGCTTAATTGTCTGGACACATTTCAAGATGTGTACTGAAATGTATCATGACAAATAGCTTTGAATGTATAAATATGGCTTGACTGCTTGGAGAATTAAAATAATTTTTGAAAAAAAAAAAATGTGTATTTTTATAAAGCTGGTTTGTGACAAAAATGTGTATTAATTTGAAAATATCTTACTTGAATTAAAAAGTTCTTATTTATATTTTAATGGAAATAGAGTGTTCTAAATATTTAGTTAAAATACTGTGCTATATGCATTCTTAATACAGAACTGCTTCAGTAATCCAAAACTGAGCAATATGGAGGAAGAAGGGATATTCAATTAATCAAAAATTTGATTAATTGAGAAAAGTTAATAGCATTTTCAAATTTTGTTCCAACATTCCTTTGAAGTAATTGAAAATTTTAATTTACCGAAGTTCAGCTATTTATAATGTCGATTAATGGATAGTTGTAAGTAGATCTTTTTTGCATATGAGCTTTTAGCTAGATTCTTTCTAAAAAAATTTCTTCAGCTTTTTACAATTTTGTATATTTCAGGGATGATGAAAATGGTTGTTTCATTTGTAATTTTGCTATTTTCTGTAAGACAGCAGCTAGCTAGATAATCCTAATTCCTTGTACTTCTAAAAGATTTTAAAGGAGGAATGAAAGATATTTTAAACCGCATAGGATAATCCTAATTCCTTTAATTGTAAAAAGTTATTGTAAATTCGAGATTTAAATGCTCTGCAGTTGTTTAAACCATGAGACATTTGTTACATCATTAATAATTCAAGCTGTGTCAGTTGTAGAGTGAACAAGGCATTTGCCTGAGTTCAGAGGTGAGAGAATATGTAAAATTAAATTATAACTTGAGATTGATAAGGAAAGTGCAATTTTGGGATTTGTCTTAAGTATTAGGCTATTGGCATAGCTCTTCTCATGTTCACTGCATTTTAGAATTGCAGTAAAATTCAGGGCTGAGATTTCCTTCTTCATTCTCTTTTTTTTTTTTTTTTTTTTTTTTTTTTTTTAGGAACAATGAAATTTTTGGTTACCCATGTCTTGTATTAAAAGGCTGAATTAATTATCAGAGCTCTAATAAAATTTCTATCATTTTTTGATTCATATGTTTAATTGCATATGCATTATTAAAACTAGTTTTGTAGTTTTGTTCATAAAATTTGTCTATTCATAAAAAATATGAAAATAAATAGAAATTTTTAATATCTTTGACAATTTTAAGAGTCATAAAAAAATTTGAAAGAAATGTTTTTCATATAAAAGTTTTTTGAAAATGAGCTTTACACCCGAAATCGAGCTTTGGAAATTCATTATGTGATAACTACTATAGTGTATGAGTTATACAGAAAGGTATATACTTGAAATTATATATATTTCCTGAATGCTTTATAAAAGCAATGTAATTGTATTGCTGTGATATAGATCAAGACCTTGTATTTAACAGCCAGCTCTAAATCTTAGTTTCATGAAGTGATAATTTGCAATTTGTTCTTACAAAATTTTTTGTATTTCCGTTTTGTAACTTTCTGTATTTAGTGTTATCTTTTTATAACAAAAAAAATTAATTAATGCTTAACAGTGTTACAATATGAGGATCATTTCCATCATAGAACATGATGATATATTTTTGTAAGCGTAAGAAATATTTTTTGTTAGGGGAACTAGCTACTTTTAATAAACAAAGAATTAAAATAGAATGATGCATTTTAAAATCATTTATTGATGTTACTTGCTTGGAAACAAAAACAGTGTTGTAAGAGGTATGAACAAACCATTTAATTTAAAGGTTATCAATAGAGAGTGTCAGCTTTTTTATTCTAGCACTTCCATAGGTATTAACATTAAATAAATATAGATAATCAAAGTACAACTAGTATCAAATATCAGGTTGGCATATGTATCTGTCTACAT